GACTATCCTTGAACTCAGCTATTCCGTCCTTTACTTGTTTTGTTGGGTGGAATGGCTACATCGTTTATGTTTTGTCGTGAGGAGTAAAAGATATAGGCACATTCACTTGACATGACCGCAGACCGTTACCCAGCCCAGTTAAAAGTGGTCAGTGGCCCCAGATACCGAGCAAATAAATGCGCATTACACATGCATTTGTGAACCATGTTCACAACATCATTATATATTTCACCCGCAAATTAATTAGTAATTGAACTTTTGCTATTGCATTTAACGAGAGGTTATTGATAAGTTAAGGCTATCGTGCATGATAAATGAAAACACTGAGGAAATGAGACCTAAACCAGAACAAATAAAAAACTCGCGTCTAAATTATTCTGTCGAAAGCCGAACAAAAGAGGAAATACTGGTGTAAGTGCCGAATAACACTGCACGTCCAAGGCGCCATCTATGGTTTGTGACGACGCCAACTAACTGACGACGGCCAGACGTTGACGGTGATGGGGCGCTGGTGTCGCGAACGACGCAATGGCGAGCGGGCTAAAAGCGATAGTAGATACTTATCTGACCTCTTCTTGTAAATTCAAAGTCGAGCTCCATCAGCCTTTCAAATACTATTTGAAATAAGATGCAAGGTAATTTCGATGCAAACACGCTTAAATGTTTCACAAGTCGACAGAAAATGCAAATAACTGATTATTAGGAAACGATCACCTAGACCTATAGGCTAAGGGTTTACTAGCTATGTATCATAACCAAGGGCGGTGCAAGGGGTCTCTCGTTGATTGTTTTCTATTCGTCAGCTACATTGACAGTGCCCTCTTGTTGAAGATGCGTCGGTTGAAATGGGCTCAATACTTATCCGTCAAACTGTATTATGATGATTAAATAGGTCACTGCCAGGCTCAGCACCTGAAACGTCAAGAAAAGTCGTAGTTAATGGGTGAGTTTAAAAATGGAATTATTGTACTGGGACATATTGTTTATGGTGAAAAGAGTTATTCAACACCAGTAACGGTTTCTTTTCACCATAATTAATGGGCGAGTGAAGATTGAAATAATATAAACAAGAAACTAAAAATTTTGGCAATGACTGTTGAAAAGAATCTTACCAACCATAACCGTATGTAACTGTACGTGGATAGCTGTCGATTAAGAAGAAATTTAACCCTCGCCGGACCTATTGGTTTTCTACATACGCGCCGGCCGAGGGGGGGGGGGGGGCGGGTACGACCCCCCCTCCGTTTCGCCCCTGATGGAGCTAGCGCGTCGCGGAAAAAACGAGCGTGTGCGCCGTTACGAGACGCAGAGATTGGTACCCGATTTTAAGGTCCTAGGTCAACCGGTGACCTCTGAGGTCAGGTCAAGTGCCCCAAGGTACGGTTCAGTTTTTGGTGAATAACTTCGCAAAAAACGGCTGCAGAGCGCCGATTTTGGCAGCATCGTGTTCGCCTCGCTCAGGCGCGTCGAATGATATACTACTTGTCCGGGTCAGGTCAACTTGGGGTGTTAACCTCAGGTCAAGGTCAGGTCAGCACCCCCAGGTCACGAAGTTGGTCGAAAGAGGTCATGTCGCGTATCATTCGATTCGCCAGGCCTTCCTAAGTCCATTGGTGGCTTTCCCGACTCGCTAGCTTAATTTGATCAAGAGTTATTGACGAAAAACTAATATGACCTTGATGACGTCATAAATGACGTCACGCAAGGTCAACATTGCAAAAGTGACGCATCTAACCTTGCAAGGAGTGCATCAAATCACGATTCTGTGTGCTTGAGATAGTTGGAGATCGTTCCCGGCGCCAGGATAGCAGTTTTCATTTTTCCCCATTGACTTATAATGGTGAGGTCACGAAAATGACCTGACCTCATATGACCTTTAGGAAAAATCACAGATATACAAGTTGTGGGACTCATAATGGATACTAGATCCTGCAAGTTTCATTTCCCTGTGACATCTCCTCTGGCAGTGAGGGCGTTGCGAAATTGCGACATCTGAAGACCGTGCGGAGGTTCACTTATGACGTCATAGGTCAGTGACCTGACCTGACCCAAAAATACGGTTGGTGTCAAAAGATCCGGCTTGGATCAAAGGTCAGGTATGCCAAGTTTCAGCGTGTTCGGAGCTATCGCGAAAAACCCTATGGGGGGCGGCACCCGTCCCCCCCCCCCTCGGCCGGCGAGGGTTAATGGGCCGTGACCCATAATAAGCATAACGCACAATGCACATTATGCTTACCACACAACGTATAACATCGCAGGTTTTAGAACATCCGCCGCTAGTAACCCTCACCGATCCGAAGCTGGCCATTGTGATGTCAAACATGTTCATCACGCTCAGCTGCATGGGCTCCCTGGCCTTCATCATGATCAGCCGGGCGATGTCCTGCTCCTGGGGACGGAGGCCGACCAGAGATCGCCCGTAGTTAAAGTCGAAAATTGCCGCGTTCTGAAAAATGAAGCGACGGTCATTTCAAGCATTGATTCGTTTCGTAATCACTCACTATGGGTTTTAAACCTTTTAAGCGGCCGGAAAATAAGTCTTTCAGCTCGAGAGTAAAACGAAAATTGACTGGCGTTACTTCGCAATAGTTTCTTCCTCTTTGGATAACGTGTTTAAACAAGCGCTATTAAATCCTTTCAGTTCCACTAAAGGTAAAAAATCGAGAGTGTACGTACGACCGTAGTAAAGTAATCTTGCGTACGACAGTCGACGGATGCACGCCTGTACGTAAACGTCGGACTCTCACCGCCTGTTGGACGCAGTCGGTGGACATGGACTCAAACAGGATGCAGAGTCCCGAAAAGGTCATATAGCCGGCGGCCACAGCCAGTACCATCCAACTCAGCTCGTACTGCCAGTAAGCCTGAAACGAACACAAGATAAATAAATAAGTCACCAGCGAGCGCCAAGCGATAATAGAGCCGATGGTAATCACGACAGTGTGTCGGGAAAAAAAATGTAGGCGGAACGGGACGAATTATCGATTCTTTCTGCATTACCTCAAAGGCGATATGCAAAACTGTGGTGTTTAAAAGTCAGTGTGCGCACTGCGCATATTGAGATGACGAATAGCACATGGTAAACGTGAATCGCATCACATGAAAATGCAACGGCCGCCCCCGGGTGGGCTCGAACCACCAACCTTTCGGTTAACAGCCGAACGCGCTGACCAATTGCGCCACGGAGATCGGAAATCGTGTAATTTTCCCGCGCATGCGCAATGCACATGCTCACAGAGGCTTATATCAATTTATTTTATATTTAGGTATATCACATTCTAGCATTGAAATATGGCTACATGAGTAAAATGCAAACAAGCTCAGCATTAGGTATGCTTCCGCTGGACTAATAGTAATCAATACATGTTACCTAGCTACGCTACCGCAATAGGTAGGTATATCGCTTTTCAACGTTAGGTACCAACTCACTTTTATTTTTGCCTAACAGCCATGACATTCTGCTCTACCTAACACACGCAAGAACACAAAAAAGCCAGTTTCTCCTTTAAACGTAAAGGTATGATGGGTTTTTGCGAGCATCAAAAGCATTATAGGTACTATACCACAAATAAAAGATTATTGTATTGTATTGTATTTACATATAAGAGCGATCCACATACGATGTGCGTGGCGATTACTGCTCAGAATCCGTATCCGCGGTTGCTAATCTAATCATTCAATACATTTGCACATTCACTCACATCAAAACAAGGACAAAACACTCTCAAGACAGCCTCATTGCTCTTACCCACCCCCATCCTATTGGTCAGCGACGATGTGCTGATTCATCGTCCACGATTGCGGCTTTAACAGCGCGGGCGAAGCGGGCGGGAGGCAGCTGCGACAGGTGAGGTGGCAGGCTGTTCAGCAGAGCTGCAGCTCGATAGCCAAACCGCCGCTTGCCCGTTTCCAGCCGCGGACGGGGAAGGTTGTTATCTGGCATTGATAAAAATGAGACGATATAAGACGAAACAAAAAAAGAGTGGGTCAGTCGCGCATCATTGAAAGGTAATGACACCATCCAACCCAAATCGGCAAGTACGCCTGAAACCCAGTCGGAAGGGCGCGCGTAAACAAGCCGTTAATGAACGGCAATGACACAATTCGGCATAGCTCGTCAAATGCCAGAAACTACGCCTGAAATCGAAATGGGATGGGAACTGGACGAAATCTGACTGGGTGTGGGTACATTCAACGAAAACGGCGCACAGAATTGTGACATAAAAAGGGTAAACCTCAACGTTGAAAAACGTATGTGGTGTCGATCGCGAATAACACACGGAAAGAAATTGTCAGGCCGCCCCCGGGTGGGCTCGAACCACCAACCTTTCGGTTAACAGCCGAACGCGCTAACCAATTGCGCCACGGAGGCCCTTGAATATCACGAACAGCAAATTTTGCGCGCGCATACATCCGCAAATACACATATATTAATGAGAATGCATATTGTATATTCTTGAGCATTTCATTAATTCATACTGTAATTTATCTACAGATGAGAATAAGGTTTCCACAGCCTTGGGCGGACATCTGTTTGACAACTCATCAAATACAGCCAGTGCATCTGAACGAGCCTCGTTCTCTCTCCTTGCTCACCCTGATACAGATGTAAGAGGTCAGGCAGATGTCGAGCAGACCGGCCAGATGCGTCACGGCGCCGCACTCACTGAATGTCTTCTGCAGCTCACCGTGCAGTCTGAAATAAAAACAGTCCTTGGACTTCTAGACACACAGGTCATACCAATTCCTAGCAATGGAACATTCTCTGTACGTCTGAGCCAGACGAATTATTATTAGCATTACTAAGGTCAATAAAAAGACATGAACCTTTGCACTATCTAAATAATGATTGCGAGCTGAAAACTAACGAATATTAATCTAATGGTGAATGAACAAAGGAAAAGAAGTCGGGCTTTAAAGTCATCTTATGTAATGTATTGATAATATTAGGTATTATTAATTAATTAAAGAAAAATAAATAAAAATAGAAGATCGTTCCCTTACCGCCACAGAAGTGAGTGCGCCTCCAGAATCTCGGTCCACCGCCCGGTGTTGGGTGTTTCCCCGTCGAGCTGCGCACTCCAGTTTTCTCCAGAGCCCCCGAGGGAAGCCCCGACAGTTCTGTTGGCGAGGGTACCGCTTCTCTCCAGCAGCGCTCGGACGGTGGTGGCGAGGTGGTCCAGGTGGTAGTAGAGGAAGATGTTGATGAGGTGGAGCGTGGTGACGCTCAGAACGTTGGCTGCGTAGACGCTGAAGACGTGAACAAACTGAAAAAGAGGCATACCTAATATGAAATCGGTCAGCCTTTTCCAACCAGTCAGAACAGCTAAGAGCAGAAAAAAATTATCCGAGTTTCACGCAGAATCCAACACTCGTCAATCTGACTAGTGTAGTTTTTAGATTTCTTTAACTTTGTGAGGAAGCTCAAATTCAACGAACCTGCAGCACCACCAAGGCGTAGTGGATCAGAAGGCTGTCTGAAGTTATCATTATCGGGAAGAGGGAAAACTTCTTCGCCGGCAGTGTCTGTCTCTGTCGAAACTCCACTGTAATCAGACCTCCAACCACATGAAGTCCCTGCAAACCAACAAACACCAGGCCCGCTACAAACATCACAAACACCATCCTGCGTTTTGCAGCGGTCGGTTTGAGGTCACTAAACACCTCCAGCATCTGAAGGCGCGACATCAGGGTCAAGGCTCTTCGAAAGGCGTTCGCTCGAAAGGATAGTGCTGGTAGAAGAAGAGACAGAAGACTGAAGTGCTCACACGCCTGTAAACTGACAAAGAAAGCAGCGCCGTGGGGAAGGGCGACCAGCGTGCGCACGGAGGTGACAGCTTGGGCGAGTAGGGTTACTGCCAGGACAGCACGGAGCAGGAACCACGGGAGGCGACCCCAGCCGGACGAGGGGCACTGGAGCACTCCCAGAAGACACAGACGGCTCCAGAGGTGGGTCCAGCGGCTGACGAGACGCGTCAGGGAGTCGTGGTTTAAGGCTTTGTTAGAGGGTGGCGCATCCGATGATTTGTCTGAAGTCGGCCGCTTCAGAGGCTTCATCTCGCTATAGGTGATGGTGACTTTTGGTTTGGATAGATGGCTAATTTGTTGCTTCTCTTCTTCGTGTTGTGACTGCTCTTCGGATAGAGAGCTAACTTCCAAGTCAATGCATTCTTTGGTATGTTTTGAAGAACTGTGAGCCTGCATTGTTCCTTCAATCGTCTGTAGTTTCTTTTTCTTGCACGGTTTTTTTAAATGCTGGTCAAGTTGTCTTTGATCCAGCTTGCTTAAGAAAGAGCAATGCTTGTAAATTAAAATTTTCCAAATCGATTATGCTTCCTTACCATTCCAGGACTTTGCGATAAGTAATAAGAGGCGATCGTCCTTGTAGCAACGATCGAGACCGAATGGAGCTAGGTTTAGGCCCATCCCTCGTCCGGTGAGGCACTTCTTTGCATGACGCCCATGGCAACGTAGAAATTCGCCAGCCTCCATTTGAGCTTGCGTATGGTTGTGTTATCCATGGGCAAACATTACAACGAATGGCCCATCAAGGCCGGGGAACGCAGGGCTCTTTGGATTATTACCATTTATCAAAGTTGATAAATTCGATAGCATTACAGCCGAACCGCTATTAAGTTATCGTCTGGTTGTCAGAAGCCGCTGCCTATTTCAAATATTACACAGATGACGATCGTTCGTGGTATACCACACCGGTAATGGTGAGCCTGGTCGTTCAATGTCGCACACAGAAGGAGGCCAGACAGTGCGCAAACACCTGAGTGACGTCGTTTGCAACGCGTGCAGGCGACGCGGTACCGCTGAGCTGCTGGGCCTCGTGGACGGCCAGTTTGGATAAGTATAATGCCAGCCGCATCGATTCGATATCGGTGAAGTAGTAATTCGCTAATGGTCTCATTTTTTACAGGCATTCACTGGACCTTTGCATTTTCAGGGGCGTACGGTAGCTCGCTATTATTGCACGCTTCTGAACAAAGATCGGTGTCTGCGGCCTTGGTACTGGTAGGCTAGACATTTGCGCTGAAAGCGTAAGCAATCCAAGCTCCCAACGCACGCACATATCATGAGGTGAGGGTCTCCATTGCAATATGCTGGGTGAATTTCAGCGACATCGTAGGAGTCACAAAAAAAACTTCTTCGTCTCCAACTACCAACCGGATGAATATGCTGCTTGGATATTGAATATTGGCTTGGACTTCATGTGTGATGATGTAGTACATGTGTGACGAGGGCCCCATGCCAATGCCCTGTGTAAAGTTAAATGACATGTAGCTGTCGCAGCGTTTTTGAATGCGGGCACGAATACTTAACGCTGTCTTCATGGACATACACCTATTCTTGGAGAGCTGTGTGGTGTCAGCAGACACGAAAAATCAGACAGTGCTTGTCATGCAGAAAGGTTTATTTCATAAAGTACGACCATGGATTTTGAATAACGAGGATTATTTTGCGCATTATAGCAAAACGTAATATTGCAGCCATAGTGAAAACAATCTCCATTGACTTGTCTGGACAAACATCACTCCAGACATTGATAAAGACGTAATTGAATGATGACATCCCAGTCGAGTGAATAAGCAGTCGTCATGCGCAGCCAGATAAGTGATGGCTACGGAAATCAAATGAATGTCACACTTCCCGTGGCTATACGTCAATAAAATCAGATAGATACATCAAAACAATAATATCAGAAGTAAGGACTACATAATTCCCCCAAAAACATTCACACTAATGCTCGTATCGTTGCTATGTCATGATCATTAAAGCTGATCAGTTTTCTCCACATTTTAGCCACGGGATCTCTGTGCCTTTTTCTCGCTCGACTGCTGAACCGGATCATCCTCCTCCAGGGTGGCGTAGCAGCGGAAAATGTGCCGGCCGTTGGTGATCACGCCCTCGCCAGGAGCTGCCAGAGAGGACGTGACTGTTTTCAGGTTCGACGCGCGCTGAAGCTGGCCCTGCTCACCTGAGATGACACTGCTAAAAGAGCCAGTTGCCGAGGATTCAGGTGCCTTCAGGGCTGACGACCTCGACAGAAGCGGGTGCCGCCCTGAACTGGTGCCCTCCAGAGCACCAATTCCCGCAGTATTAGCTGCATCATTGCCAGCGGGGTTCTGGGGATGGCTGTTTGAATTTCCTCTCTCGTGAGAACCTTTGGCCGGTGCTACTGGCGAAGCTGCTTGAGTGTTTTCCTTCCCCACACTCGTGTCTTGCTTGCCTTGCATGGCTTTCTCCACCAGCGACCCGACCACCCCACCAACGACACCCTGAAAGGCGGAGTCCGCCACGCGGCCACCAAAGTGCCGCGCTCGGCTCCCGGTCGATGGCTGAGGTTGGGGAGACAGGCTACCGCTGCTGTCTTGAGAACTGATCGCCCGGCTTCCTGACTGAGGTTGGGGAAACACCCTATCGATGCTGTCCTGAGAACTGATCGTCCTGCCCCCCTTGGATGGCTGTGATTGGGGAGACAGCCTACCACTGCTGCCCTGAGAACTCATCTTCATGGTACTCTCTGCAGAGACGAAAGAACCCTGACTGGTCTGGGATTTCACAGCAGATGTGTCACTGTCCTGGCTCTTCGAAGCGAGTGTACCAGCGTCCCTACTCTTAGAGGTCAGACTGACAGAGCTGTCACCGCTCTCGCCTTTTTTAGCTTGATTTGCAGCCTGAGAAGTGGGACGTTTGGTAACCGGGCGGCTGGTCGGCGGATTCTGCTTCCTTTTGTTGGTTTTACTCGACGACCGATTGCGTCGGTTCCTCGACTTGTACCTGGTACGATCTCGCCGGCGCTGGCGGTAGCTGCTGGTCCTTGTCGACAGGCGACGCGATGATCTTTTGGAGTGCCGTCTCTTGTCCCTGCTCTTCCTACGCCTACGACGCCTGGAGATTCTTCTAAATAAACCTGAAACGGCATGCCATGGGAGAAGCGTCAGCAAGTTAAACGTCGACGGGTTAAACGTTAAACGACGACGGGGTAAACGTTAAAGGGTTAAACGCTTCACTCAGCAGTCGGCACCGACAGGCTAGACTCAAATGGGATGCACACTGTACGATTTCTCTCCAGTTCGCCCCATGTAAGCGCCGTGTGGTGATCCGTGTTACTCCTGTTTCTGGCGCACAATTGGCCTAACTCTTTCAAAGTGCAGAAGAAGATCCACGCCAATTTCTTCGATGAAAGCACAGCGACACCAAAATATAGATTTGATAGGCGTGCTTAAAATGAGCAAAACTTTTTCAATTCCGTTAACCCGCGCCGGGCCGGGGGTGTTTGAACACCCCCCCCCCCCTGTGGTTTTTGGCACACCTGTTTGTGCATCTTTTCCGCACATGTTGTGAAAATTTCAGACCCAGGTCGCCTTAGGTCAGGTCACCAGATCACGCCAAGTGACCTCACATTCAGAAAAGATAATAATGCTCGTCATAGCTACACCGACTAAACGATTGCCTTGAAACTTTCAGCGATTGATTAGAGCAACATCATCTATAAAATGTATATCTCGGAATTTTGATATCGGTGACCTAAGGTCAGGTCAATTTTGCGGCCTCACCATTATAAGTCAATGGGAGAAAATTGAAAGGCGTCTGTTTTGCACCAACGCTATTCTAGACACTCTCAAACATCGAGATGTAGGTAAAATAGACACACTGAACCGGAAAATGGCAACTGTGACCCCTCGTTATGTCCCCGAGGTCATCTCAGGTCACGAACAGAATCTAACAGTTTTTCGCTAATAACTTCTGATAGAGGCGTGCTAGAGCGCTGAAAATGCCTTAGATGTGTTCAGCTCGACGTTGCAGATCGACTGATATGCAACATGACCTTTTCCGGTCAGGTCATGGCCTTGACCTGAGGTCAAATTTTCAAGTTGAACTTTCAAGGTCAAATTATAGTTCATTCGACGCGTCTCGACGAGAGGAACACGATGCTGGCAAAAGAAATGTCATGGCTTTTTCGAGTCAAAAGTTATTGCCGAAAAAACACTTTTCGTAAAAACGGCTATTTTGGAGTTTTGGACCTCTGGAGGCTAAACCGTTGACCTGAGGTCAAATCTGAGAACATTACTCAGAAAGGTCTGTAAAAGGGCTATCGAATGCGCTTTTCTGCGGCGCTGTAGCTCTATCGGTTCCCGAGATAGCCGTTGGCAGTTTCCAAAATGTTGAAATAGTCAACATTTTACTTATGGTGACCTCTGGTGACCTGACCTTTGACCTGACTCAAAAAATGACTGAAGTGTTTTCGTCCTTATTTTGGACGTTCTTTCGATTGCCGCTTACCGCGTGTCGCTAAGTGGCCCAGGAGCCGAGTTAAAAGGGGGGTGTTCAGACACCCCCTCCCCCCCCCCCGGCCCGGCGCGGAATCTCAGAGCACCGGCCCGACGCGGGTTAAGTTTGCGGGTTTTAAAACATGCAAAGAACATTTGCACTTAGCATGACATTTGGTATGACACTGCGGTCGCTAAGCAATGACAGTCAAAGAAAAATTACTGCAATATCGAAATTTGCTGATAACTATAAGACTGGAACTGAAAAATCGGACAGCAGAAGATTAGCTATCAAACTAACTACCAAAAGGAAAGCCTAAGAAAGTATGTATTACCCTATGATATCATAAGATGCCATTCCTGTTTTCACATAACAATTTTTCCGCCAAAGTGAACAGCTTACCTTTGACACGGGAGAATGACTTTTTTATCACATGTCCGACGGCCTTCCCTGCTTTCGCAAATCGTCCCCCACGTGCAGACTTCACTGCTACTTTTGCAATTTTCACACCAGCATGTATAGCCCCTGAAACAGTATTGACAAACACATATTATATCGCTTCAAAATCGGCGGGGGCGGGGGCACAAGCCATGACCTTGCTATTTTTCGGCCCAAATGTTCACAACAAAAGTCGAGGTTCGAACACATTAATTGGAGAAAGCACCGATTTATATAGCACCAGGCGTGTTCCAGTTTAACACAAAAAGCCGAGTTACTTTTTCTACCACAGTTTTACGCTTTGGACTAAAAAAACTATTCGAGCAGAAGCAGCACACCAAACATTTGTACGAAGTCTTTGTCCTTGTCCCACCTAGGCAAATCAAGAAAAACTTGCGAGGTCAAAAACAGGGCGCCATTTGTTACAGGACACATGGCCTGTGAAAGAAAGAAAAGCTTTTAACGAGGTGATTCGCTTTTTAACAACCAACGATGATTTGAACATTATATGTACACGCCACACATCAAGAAAAGTTATCCATATATATTATCTTTGCAGCAGCTACAGCCTATATCATCTTTTCCTGAAAAGCGACCTTCCCACTTACCGAAGAGGCCATCCGAAGGCTCAGGCATCAGGATGGCCACCAGGGCCACCGCGGCCAGGCACCACACCATGCGCATGGTGGCAGCGTGGGGGCCGTCCCTGACGACGGCGGGTCTGCGCAGGAAGCGTCCCCTCAGCCGGCGAGCTGTGCCGACCGGCAGGTGGCTGCCCTGACTTGCGCGTGCTGTTTTATATGTTACCACTATCATGCAGTTTAGCGGGTGGTATTTGCATGTGTTTGTGTGGTAGTTGATAGGCCGGGTCGATCCGTGATATGAGGTTTATGCAGCGTATTAGTGAGAATGTTATTGCACGAGGAGGGCCCAAGTGCTGAGCTGTAGGTTTAGTACCTTAGGCTATTCGGAAGGTCGTTGATGTATCATCTTAAGGACGAAATAGAGCTTCATATTGGTCATCACACACTTTACAGTGCTGGCTCTGGCGAATGCCGGTTTCGTACCACATAATTACATTTTTAATTTAAAGTTCTTATTTGCATTATCAGAATAAATTGTTAGTTTCAAAACACACAGGGTCACGGAAGTAACACTAGAGCTGATGCAGTGAATCCCACACGAATTTTCTTGCTGATCTGAGTTTAAGACACCAAACTTTATATATTGCCAGTTTCTATTAGCCTGCGCCTCGCAGGGACATTAATCGACCCTGGCCGCCGTAACGGAGGAGCGTTTTGACCCCCTGTTATCTGAGAAATCTGGTGGTGTCTGGTACACATTTGGTACATCTCGTACACATTTGGTTAACATTTGGTGCAAATTTGGTTAAACGCAATTGGCTAGCGCGTTCGGCTGTTAACAGAAAGGTTGATGGTTCCAGCCTACCCTGAGCGAATTGCGTTTGGTTGTATTGACCGAAAGTGCTTATTTTATTACAAAATTTGCTTACAAAATTTGATCCGATCTCGCTGCTTTCATAGCATTTCAATAACATTCTCAATTGACAAACAAATTTGTGTGCAGCTCAAATGCATTGAAACTTTAAAGTAGGTTCCTTTAACCCGCGCCCTGCTGGGGGGTGTTTGAACATCCCCCCTTGTGGTTTTTCGTAAATATCTCAAAAACGGCGGCGCGGAGCGCCGCCGTTTTTGGTACACCTTATCATACATCAATTCTACACATGTTGTAAAAATTTCAGATCAAGGTCATTCAAGGTCAGGTCACCAGGTCACTTGAAGTGACCTCACCTCATAAAAAGTTTCAATGTCTGTCATAGCTACACCGAGTGACCGATCGCTTTGAAACTTTCAGCGATTGGTAAGAGTAATAGCATGTACAAAATGTTTATCTCAGAATTCTGATATCGATGACCTAAGGTCAGGTCATTTTTGCAACCTCCCCATTATAAGTCAATGGGAGAAAATTGAAATGCGCCCCTTTTGGACGAAAGACATTATAAACACTCCCAAACACTGAATTACAAGTGGTTTAGACACACTGAACATGAAAATGGTGTCCGTGACCCCTGTTTATGCCCTGAGGTCATCTTAGGTCACGAATGGTATCTAACAGTTTTTCGCAAATAACTTTTGATAGAGGCATGCTAGAGCGATGAAAACGCCTTGGATGTGTTCAGCTCGACAATACGGATCGACTGATATGCAACATGACCCTTTCAGGTCAGGTCATGACCTTGACCTGAGGTCAAATTTTCAAGTTGACCTTTCAAGGTCAAGTTATAGTTCCTTCGATGCGTCTTGACGAGAGGAACACGATGCCGGTAAAAGTAAGCTCGAGCAAGGCTTGGGTCAAAAGTTATTGCAGAAAAACTGTTTCCGAAAAAATCGGTTATTTTTGCAGTTTTTGCCCCCTGCAGGCAAAACCGTTGACGTTAGGTCAAATCTGAGAGAATTACTCAGAAAGGGCGTTAATAGGGCTATCGAATGCGCTTTTCCGCGGCGCTGTAGCTCTATTGGTTCCCGAGTTATGCGTTGGCATCTTGGAAATTGTCGACATTCGACCTGGAAATCGGCGAAATTTTGCCTTCAATGACCTCTGGTGACCTGACCTTTGACCTGACCAAAAAATTGACTGAAGTGATTTCGTCATTATTTTTGATGCTCTTTCGAACGCCGCCTTCCGCGTATCGCTACGTGGCCCAGGAGCCGAGTTAGAAGGGGTGTTCAGACACCCCCCCCCCCCCCAGCAGGGCGTGGAAATCCAGGACCCCCAGCCGGGCGCGGGTTAACTAGCCTCATCATGACCCATCACACGCCTACTGCTCTGATACCCAGAATAAAAACACCTAGAAGGCGTCGCGAAATTGTAGCAGACCTCAGTCACCTACCCACCCCTAGGCCATCCCTCTGTAGTGTCGTGCAATTGCAATAACATCAGCTCGCCGGATCCTTCCGCAGCGACATCTATAACAGCTAATGCTTCCATCGTATTCCTTACAGATGTCGCTTCTTCAATATTCGATAAAGCAGGAGCCAAGTAAATGCAAGGTGTACGCTTCATGCTGAGCAATGTGCATGGTAAACATTGATTTCCGATTTTGATAATGGTATCAGCTTTGCAGTGAAAGCCAAGCCGTGGAAAGAGATGCTATTTATCTAGACCAATTGGCTGTCCTCTCGGTGTCTCTGAGAGATTGGAGTGTCGAGAGTGCTTCCGTTGTTTGCTGTATTGCGTATGGTGCAGTCATCATGGGAAAATTTAAAGTTTAAACAACATGAAACACATGAGAAAATTAAAACGATAAAATACAGGGCTGGAAAATAACACAGTTGTACTTCATCATGCATGAACTCGAGCTAAGCAGCGGAGATTCAGAAAGTCACTCTCCCACACACACTCTCACACTTAACTGTCTCAGAATTATGACTACCTACTGTTTGCATCACCAAATGTTATGCTAGTTGCATCGCTGATCCAATGAATCTAAATGGCGTCTGATATGATTTTGGTACGATAAACGAAGATATGCGCGATTGTAATAACTGAATAATATTTTATAAAAAAGATACTTATATATTAAACAGTGAACGAGTGGTTCCAGTGCCGGGACTGACTCCGAAATTTTCATACACAATTGAAAATGTCGGTTTTATTGAGCCTCCACGGTTGCTGTTTCGATAGCCCAGATTAATCTTAGATAAGCGGCAAGAAGCTTACCACCTCGACGGACAGTGATAAGCTTCGATAAGCTGTTAAAAGCTCTGGTGAGCTGCAGCAGGCTGTGAATCTTTAACTGGAAACCCCCGATCAGATTTCGAAAAGATGTTGCACGTCTTCGCAGTTCATGCACCTACCCACAGGTAATAAATTACTTTTAGTATCTGCCACCTGTGCGGCAGCATATAACATGTTGATGCTATTGACGTCATTGCTACATTTATGTGAATTACTCTCGCTGGATAGTCCTCAGCAGCTAGCGAACTAAGCCGCACAATGACACCTACTGACGCGAACTGACTGATGACTTATGACACCTCCTGACAAAATAAAAAAAATAGTTTGAATTTCAAAGAAACTTTTCCTCAATAGTTGATTAAAATTACAATAAAAAGAAATTATTATATTGTTTGTCAAAATTTCGAAAAGTTCGTTCATTCGCAAGCCACATGAAACAATTGACAACAATTGTTTGTCACATGAAACAATTGTCACATGAAACAATTGACAACAATAATTTGTCACATGAAATAATTGTCACATGAAACAATTGACAGCAATTGTTTGTCACTTGTTTCATATGGCTTGCGAATGAACTGTTGTTCGAAAATTTGCCAAACAATATGATGCTGGTTTTTTATTCTTATTTGAACTAGCTATCAAGGAAAAAGGTCATCTGAAATTCAAACTACATGTCGCGTTTTTTCCAAATCCCATATCTGGTCTCCCTTGAATTTCCGACAAGTTGAATAGAAACTTTCAAAAAAGGTAGTCACTCTTTTTTTCTCAAGTTTGTCTGTCTTAGCAGCTCAATCGATGCTAGGATAAGCTTACGGACACACATTTTGATCAGGGTCGGATGACAGGACACTTTTTAAAAGGGATCTTTCGTGCTCCCCGGAAATTCACGGGAGCACAGATGTAGGTTTGGGTAAAAATCGTGTCGGATGTCGATATATCAAGATGTTCCTCGCCAGAGCACTGTGTACTATTTCATAAGAAACAATCTTACATTACTGTTTGCTTATTATATTTTTAATAGTTAACATAATTTGACATAACATATCGACATCGCCGATGTAACAGATTAGGTGCGCTCTTGTTTGAAATTAAAAACAAACAAAAATTGAACTGGCATGTTACCTCATCGGAAAAACTGAGGTTAATGACACTGGGTAACGTGGTATATTGCCGGCAGGGCTATCGAGGTCTGTTTGATTTTTGAAAATTGATCCGGTTGTTTTGGCGATACCAGGAACCAGAAACGACCCCTCTGGGCAAGCGGGAAGGATCCGGAGGTATTCCTCCGTGACGCAAAAACTGGCAAAATGAAGTTCATGGTGATGTCCAAATCCCATATCGGCATTGAAAATTGTTGTATTTATAATTTCCCAGGCCCCACATCAATCACAAAATTATGCCCATTACTTTGTGTGCTTCTTTTGGAACAAGAATCTGATCTAAATAAGAATTATATAGAGCTAAGAATAAAAATGAAATACTTTAGAAAATAACCAGCAATTATGAGAACCAGAACTATGCAGTGTGTGATGACCAATACGAAACTTTGTTTCATCCTTGGGGTGTCCGTTGAGTGAAATCAACAATCTTCCGAATAACTTGAGGTACTAAACCAACCGCTCAGCACTTACTACATCCTCGTGCAATTACATCTTCACTAATGCGTCGCATAAACCTCATATCATGGATTAAGCCAGCCTACCAAGTAAGTACACACACACACATGCAAATACCACCCGCTAAACTGTATGATAGTGGTAACGTATAAAACAGCACGTGCGAGTCAGAGCAGCCACCTGCCGGTCGGCACAGCTCGCCGGCTGAGGGACGTTTCCTGCGCAGACCCGCCGTCGTCAGGGACGGCCCCCACGCTGCCACCATGCGCATGGTGTGGTGCCTGGCCGCGGTGGCTCTGGTGGCCACCCTGATGCCTGTGATGACAGAGAGCAATTCTTTCGGTAAGTGTTACTTGTTGTTTCCTTATTTCTATATTTTTATGTAGTTGTTTTCAAAAGGTTGCCGTCCGCTGTCTTTTGTCATTTCGTTCAGTCGAAGACAATAAATATCGCTACCGATCCATATGATTAAATGATGTTAACACGCGCACCGACGGGGGGGGCGGATATCCCCCCCCCCTGAGGTTTTTCGCGGATAGCGGGAAAACCGCGGCACGAAGCGCCGCGAAATTTGGTACGACTATTCTCTCATCAATTTTACACATGGTGTGCAAGTTTGAACCTCCTAACTTTTAAGGTCAGGTCACCAGGTCACTTTGAATGACCCAACCTCAAGTCACTTTTTTGCAACTTTGTCACCGTGCCAGAGCTACAGTAGATGTCGGAGGCCTTTGAAAGTCGCAGGATGTTATTAGCAAGATACCTATAATAAACAGGTAGATCCGATGTTTTGAGTAAAGCCCTGGTGACGTCACGGATATTTCTTATATGGAGAATTTCACCCGTAAGGAAAATATTTTACATACAAAAATTTGTATGCTATTAGGAAAAAATACAATCTTTCAATTCCACCATGAAAATTATATAATTTAATTAATAAACTCGAAATCCTTTGAGTGTTTGTCCCAACCCTCTGTTATACCTTTGGTCACGTGACTACCATGATACACTTTGCATTTTACAAGGTTATGACTTAAACGGAAGTAATAAATGCTGCAAATGTATTATTTATGATGTTTTAGGCAGCAATCGTGTGAATATATCCTGAAATTATGAATAATCTGCTGAAAAGAAGTCACGTGATGTTACCAGATTGTGCTCGGACAGCATCTTCTTGAATTTCGATTTTGAGTACTTTGTACCTTCATTGAGGCCTAATAACGGACGTTTTTAGTTATAAAATGAAGCACTGAATCTAATTAGGGCAAAATTTAATCATTTTTGCACTTTCAGGCCGGGCTATCCTGGCATGAACTTCGGCAAGTTTGTGTGTAAAGCCTATGGTGAAGGGAAAACTTCACGCCCGGCTGACGTCACAGACCTCGGCTACCAAATCGTGTCCGGTGGGGGCTGGTTATTAGGTCATTAGTAGCTACAATTTGTTTATCTCGGAATTTTGATATCGGTGACCTAAGGTCAGGTCAATTTCGTGACCTCCCCATTATAAGTCAATGGGGGAAAAATCAACTCCCTGTTTTTACCACTAAAACGGGTCGGAATGGCCCCATATACCATACATGACTTCATATACGATCAACCTTCACTACCTTGAGGTCTGTTTTGCTGTTGGGCAGCTGTAAGGTCATGTGACGTCATCAAAGGTCACCAAAGGTTTTTTGCCAATAACTCCGTACAGGAACAAGATACAGCCGCGCGGATGGTCTCATTGTGTTCAGCTCGTCAAGACGCATCGAATGATATACATGATGACCTCGAGGTCACGTAACCTGAGGTCAACCTTTGACCTTGACCTTTCGAGGTCAACATATATATCATTCGATGCGGATTGACGAGAGGATCACGATGATGCCCTTAGTTTGTTCCTATCTTGACTAATTCGAAAGTTATTCGAGAAAAACTCTCTCCATATCTAGCGCCGCCATTTTGACTTTTTCGACCCCTGTGACGTCATCTTTGACCTGACCTGAAAATGACCTTAGTAAAAAACTGTAGACCTTGTCCGTGCGTATCCGATGCCGTTTACCGCTTGTCGCTATCTTGCTTCGTTCTCGAGATCTCAGGGGGGGGGCGGTCATCCGCCCCCCCCCCCCCGTCGGTGCGAAGTTGGCGCAGACCCCCGTCGGTGCGCGGGTTAAAGCAGAGTGGGAAAGAAAATAAAGTCAAATAGTAAGAAAATTAACGTCACTCTCATTCTATCTAAAAGTAAATTCCGAATTCGAAATAAAACAAACTTTTTTAGAAGCTTTCGGCATTGCGCCATCATCAGCTCTGGAGTTTTATTTGCAAACATTTGAGAAAATATGCATTCGGGCTGATAGTTTTGTCTGCAGTATTGCAGTATTGCGTTGAAACATATTCAAGAAAATAAAGTCTGCTGAGCAGACTTTATTTTCTCGCTGTGAGAAACACGTCTCCCCCAGAGAGCAAATATTCGCTGTTTTGTGGTCACTTCTAGAAACTAATTTTGACCTTATTCTTTTATGATGAGTTAAAATCTTTGTACATATTTTTATCCAAATTGGAGAGAGACCTCAGAATGTCTCCCTACATCTCCCTCGCCGTTACCCGTATGTATGGACACCAGGGCCCCGTTTCATAAAGCGAGTCCGTAACTTACGCCGGTTTTTGGTCTTGTATTGCAAGTGCATGTGAAGCGATGACGATAGTTTGAATCGTTGAATTTATTTCTCTTGCAAGCAAGAACAGAAGGGAGAAGGGGAAACAAATTTATCGCTTTACATGCGCTTGCAATACAAGCCCAAAAACCGGCGTAAGTTACGGACTCGCTTTATGAATCGAGGCCCAGGACGACACTCAGTGGTCAATGCAACCCTGACTTGCACTGACACCCACCCGGCTTCAAATTTCCGCTTGATTGATAAAGATAGGGTAAAATTGTGGGAGATGTAATGCGTGTATGTGCTTGTTTTTTTCAGAAGTGAGAAAGGCAGATGCGGACGAAGGATCGAATCTAGTGAAGGCAGCAGATACAAAACCGCTGGCGCAATCTGGGAGCTGGGACGTCGGACATGTTGCGGCAAAGCCACTCTCACTCAACGACGGTAAGCTCCGATCGCCTTCAACATTAGAAGTATAACTACCTGCTTGTTACAGCTACGAGCAGCGCTGAGTTTGAATAGCTTAGTTCTAACAGCGAGCAGCTAATGCTTGAATTCTGCATTGTATACCTGTTCAAGACATGTTGCCTGGTTGCCTGGTTGCAACATATGCCTGATTGAATCCCACAGCTTCAGCTGTCTGTTTTCAACAAGCTCAAATCCTGCATGTGCTTACAGACATAGCGTTCTGTACTTTGTAGATGATATTAAATGCTCACCAGTTTAACATAGATCCCTAAGAGGCTAGAAATAATTAATCGGCGTTACTTAAAACAAAACGCGTATATGCCTAACCCGTTGACGTCCCCGCTCTCTCTCTCTCTCCCTCTCTCTCTCTCTCTCTCTCTCTCTCTCTCTCTCTCTCTCTCTCTCTCTCCCTCTCTCTCTCTCTCTCTCTCTCTCTCTCTCTCTCTCTCTCTCTCTCTCTCTCTCTCTCTCTCTCTCTCTCTCTCTCTCTCTCCATACGCATGCTATTTCAGGTCTTCTTGGAATCACTTCCAAGCATCGCAGACCCAAGAGAGCAGCGAGACGTTATGGCAGAAGGTCATCACGTCGCCGATCGACCAGCAGCAGCAGAAGAAGAAGCTATCGTCAGAAGAAGCAAGTTCGTACCCGGCGGAAAGCGAAGAGCCGACGCAGTCAGAAGTCAAGAAAAGCGAACAGAAGGAAACAGCGTACATCCTCTACTCGCCGCGCACGGAAGCGCAACAGGTCTAATGCACGTAAGCCTAAAAAGAGCAAGAGAGGTCGATCTTCTCGAAATCCAAAAAAGAACTCGGGCAGACGCAAGTCTAACGGTCAGACCAGCAGGAATAAGGGCCGTCGTACCTCCTCTAAGAAGAGCAAGAACGGCGACAAGTCATCTGTGAAATCCCAGACTGGCCAGAGCTCCCTCAGCTCTGCGCAGAATACCATGACGATGGGCCCTCAGGCCAGCAGAGGCATGTCTCCCCAAGGACAGCCCTCCAAGGGGCGCCGGGCGCTGGGCGTCGGTGGTCGCCTGGCCGAAAACGCCGCCCAAGCATCTGTGGGAGGAGTTGTTGGAGGAGTTGTGGAGGCCGGCATGCAGAAGGCTCTAGATAAACCGGACGATGCAGAGGCACCAAATGATGCAGACCAGCCTGCTGATGCGGCTGAACCGACTGATGCGGATTGCGTGGCTGATGCAGAGGATCCGAATGATGCAGATTGTGTGAATGATGCGGATGAACCGGCTGAAGCAGATTACGCGGCTGATGCACAGGAACCGGCTGATGCAGATTATGCGGCTGATGCACAGGAACCGGCTGATGCAGATTACGCGGCTGATGCGGATTACGCGGCTGATGCAGTTTAGCCATCAGCACCAGCCACGGGTCTTCGCTGGAGAGGGGGTGCACCATCAACACCAACCCCAGCCTCGAGGGCGCCTAAATCCTCGGCGACAGGTACTCTCAGAGCGTTGGCTCAGAGTAGCAGCGCTAGCTTCCACGAGCAACCGACCTAAAAATGGACATTTTATACATAGCCAGATCATGAACGGCCGCCATATATTCTGGCGCTGTGCTGTTCTAGAGGAGGACAAACCTGCTTAACAGTCACGTGAAAAAGGCAAAGAAATCAAGTGGCTAAAATGTGAAAAAATCTGACTAGCTTTGATGATCAGGAGCAGGACAGGACGTTGATACGAGTATGCTTGTGAATTTTTGTCGGAATCGTGTAGTGTTTGCATGGCTCTGATGTCCTTGATTATATTGGTGTGGCCAAGTTAATTGCGATCTTCGTTTGATTACCGCCGCATTTTATCTGCATAATGCATGCTTATTCATTCCACTGAAATGTCATCTAATCGATGATATCTTGATCTATGTTTAAAGTGATGTTTGTGAAGATTTAATCGATGTGCATTGCTTATAATCAGAATGTCACTTACGATTTGCCACAACGCTCATGATAATCCTCGTTATCCGAAATCCATTGCTAGCTGCTTCATGAAATAAAACTTTCCGCATGACCGCAGTGTTTTTCGTGTCTGTTGACACCAGCAACTTTTCATGAATCCACTCTAAATTAGGAGTGGAATGTCACACAATTGGCTGCCTGTTTATTCACACACCGGCATATTCACATCCGATGACCATATCGAAAAAAAAATGTTTGAATGGTCATTCTTTGCATGTGAACGTGACAAAATGGCGTCATTCGTCAGATAATCCGTCGCTAAAACGGCCAATGGCGCATCACGGATGAATACTGGCCGAAAAAGTCGCAGAATTGCGTGACCTCCTGAAATCAAGAGAGTCACTCGCAATAAAAGTGATTCCGCATCACAAACGGACCAATGCTCGCATTAGCGGTCTATTTTTAACTTTGCATGTGCCTCTCCACTCAAAGGTGCTCCATAATATAACGGGCATATAGATAGGGTAGGACTGAGAACCGGCGCTTAACTATATCGACTGGCAAACGGAAACGGACGACATGTTGGGTAAGAAGCGTCAGTCAATATGGTGGAGTGTAATTTAGCAAGGCAAGCCGCAGCAGCACGTCAAATGCAACAAGAATGACATTGGGCAGAAGTAAAAGGAATATGACAGGTTACAAGCGGTAGCTCAATAGCAGGTCATCAACAGGTCAACAGGTCACCATCAAGTCACCAACAGGTCACCACTAACAAGTCATTACTAGGTCATCATCTCACCACCATCACGCGATCAACCACTCTCATCATGTCATCATCATTAGGCCCCCCCATCCCTCCCCCCCCCCCACTCCGTCTGCCGGGTCGCGTTGGTCATCAAATCTGTCACGCACGCGATTGGTTCCCGCGGGCGGGCCACTCCGTCCCTGGTTCCTGGAACCAATCGGTTCTGGACGAGAGGACCAGACGCTGGCACTCTGAGGGAACTCCCAGGAGAGGGGGCGGGGGGGGGGGCGCTGATGGATCGTGGTGGTTGGTCAGTATTCGGTAGGTATGCAGTCTACAGTCGGGATGTTTATGGGTAAATTGCCCGGTATATCACGCAGAATAACGACGAATATGCAATGGCAATGTGGTGGGAAGCATAGTAAATCTATGATGATAGCCTTTCTCTCGCCGTTCTCACTGTTTAGCGCTCTGGAAAAGCATATAAAATTTTCGCATGAAAGCGCATTTCTGATTAGGCCTCAGGAGAAACAAAAACGTTCAACAAGAGAGGATAACAGGTTGTTTAAGGCCCAAATATCATGCTCTTAAATCGAAAAAAAACAGCATTACAACTCAGTCTCTGTTCGCAACTCGTATTACATTATCGTAACACACAAATCGCATCATATCGTAAGGTAGACTGGGACATCATAACACAGGCCACGCTCGCACCTTGCTTATCTCGTCCATTAAAAAATTCACGCCAACTCACAACCCTCATTCATGCCTGGGGGAACTTTGCCAACCGGACTAATCCTTGCTAGCTAGGTGTCTATTGTCTGTCGCGTGTCATATCCCTCCCTGTGCGTCTTGTGACATATCCCTCGCTAGCCGCGAGCCGGACGCGTGTCCTCGCGCGCTGCCTGCCGTGTGGGAAGTAGTTCAGTGGGGCCCACAGCCGCCCACCGCACTGTAGGCCGGCAGCCCGGAAAAGCGCTAGAAATTCCCCCAAACTGACTGTCCGCAATATGAACAAAAAGGGGATCATTAAATCCCAAATTGATCGAAGAATACGATTCCGATGCCAGTTTTCCCCTAAGGTCAAAATTCAGGTCGTCAGTTGTCACCAAACACAAGACAATTTAGACTCTCTAGTGGCCACCATATTTACCGATTTTAATGATGATCTTTAGTGGTAATTTATTAGTTGACCAATCGCCGTTTTCAACGAAATTTTCTGTCACACTAGTTCAGGGCACTGTTGTTCACTGTGCCAACAACATTCTTACATATTGCATCGCTTTTCTGTAAGATAAGCTAGATTTTTGCAAGCAGCTGCAAGGCGTAATTGAAAATAATATACAATTCTTTAATTAGACTTTTATAAAAATGTGATTTCGAGCGGCTAAAAATGAACATGCTATACTATCCTCTGATCACTCATCTTTCGTTCCATATAGGTGCTTTGCTGCTTTTCCCTGCTACTTTTCGAGATATGCGCCTGTAAACCACATGATGTATGGGCAATTGTCACCTCGCCGCTATACTGAAGGCCCGACGCTCTTTAAAGCGCTGGAGCTTGTGAAAAACGAACGCTTATAATCTGAATAAAATATATGTCCCTGAGCTCAGAATTGACCAACGCACACGATACTGTCAACATTTTTGGGTCAAAGTCAATAATTCAGTCATTACTAACCCTCAAACACAAGTCAGTGACAATCAACAACAACTTGCTCTTTAGTTAGACTTTTTGAAAAATGTTATTTCGAGCCGCTAAAAATAACCATGACGTAGAAAACACTAATCATATTTCTGTCATGCCCTACTCGCAATTTTTGCCAATGCCTGCTACTCTTCGAGGTCACGTGACCTCACCATTAAAAGTAATTGGGGAAATAAGAAAACTGTTGTTTTTGCGCATGGAATGATCTGAAACTATCTCAAGCACACGGAATCGTGATTTCATGCACTCCTTGCAAGATCCGATGCCTTACTTTTGCATTTTTGACCTTCCGTGACGTCATTTATGATGTCACTAGGGTCATAGAGGTTTCTTGTCAATAACTCGTAATAAAATTGAGCCAGCGACTCGGGAAAGCCACCAATGGACTCGGGAAGACCTCCCGAATCGAATGATATGCGATACGACCTCCTTCGATTAAGTTCGTGGCCTGATGGGCTCTGACCTAACCTTGACTCGAGGTCAACACCTTAAGTTGACCTCACCCGAACAAAAGGCATAGGTACCATTCGACGCGGCTGAGTCAGGCGAACACGACGGTGCCAAAATCGCTGCTCTGCGGCCATTTTTTGCGAAATTATTTACCAAAAACCAAACCCTACCTTGGGCTTTTTTACTTGACCGCAGAGGTTACCGGTTGACCTGGGACCTTAAAATCGGGTATAAATCTCTGCGTCTTGCAACGGCGCACACGTTTGTTTTTTCTGCGAGGCTCTAGCTCTATTAGGGGCGAAACGGCGAAAAGGGGTCGTACCACCCCCACCCTCCCTCGGCCTGCCGAGGGGGAGGGGGTCCGACAATAGGCCTGGCGAGGGTTAAGCAGCCCCACGTCGTTTTTAGCATGTTTGCTTGTCACTGAGATCAACAATTCAATCACAAATAATTTCTAGCGCTTTTCCGGGCCGCTGGCCCAGTGTGCACCGCTCTCCCTCGCCGAGGTAGCGTACCGAAACCTCGCCGCAGCAGGCACAGTAGCGCCACAGCGCCAGGTAGCGGACGGAGGGCCAGTCAGCCGGCGACCGCACTACCCGCAACACACACCGGCACGGGAGCGAGACGGGAGGGGTGGAGAGGTGGACAACGGTGGACAGTGGACGGTGGAGAGGAAGACTGCAAACAGCATACAAGAGACAGTGAACCGTGGACAGTAGGCAGAAAGGGAACAGTGGACGTTGGTCTGTTGACAGCGAAGAGTGGGGAAACGAGAAATAGAAAACAGTAGACAACAAACGATTGACAGACGAGAGTGGAGCGAGAACATTGACGTAACATAGCATCAGGGCTGTCGACGATGGTTTCCAGGGTATAACTAGCGTCCAAAAGGAGCTAAGACGGTTCCAGTCAGTGTGTGTGACCTGTGCTTGGGTCACGTGACTCGTGACCTCTGACGCGACCTGACGTCAGGCTCGGAGCTGAGGTGACCGAGGTGAAGACAAAACGTGAGGTGCGAACTGTGGTGAGAACAGGGAGTGAGCTGTTCACATCGGTGAGAAGTCTGCACGTGTGGAAGAATCGAACGAGCCGCTAGCTGCGGCTTGTGATAAGACACCGTCTCAACGAGTCTGCGATCAGCGATGATAATGCTTGGAGAGGCGTTACTTCTGACGGTAAGTTTCAGTAGTTTGTGGGGGGGGGGGGGGCAAGGAGAAATTCATACGTGAGCTTATCTTAAGTGCAAAGCTACAGCTTGTGAGTTCCTGGCTTCACGAAGTTTCAATTTGCAGTAAAACAGTTTGCTTGGTTCTGAAAATAAGGTGAATTGCAATAAAAATAAGAAAACCTAAGTGTCGACGGAGTTATATCAATTTGTGCATTAAGATGTGGCTTTGTCACATTTGTATGCGACGTTTTGAGCCACTTCGAATTCGTCTATTTGCAGCATGTGTACACAAAAAGTGCGGCAGCTGCTGGGCTTCCTCAACCAAAAAACAACGACATGCGAAAACACCCGCGGAAGTACCGTGCAAACCTTTGTTCCAGCTTTTAATCCACTTAAATACGCTAATTGAAGGGAAGTGGAACTATTTCGTTATTAATGAGCAAAAAGTCGGCATGCTGGGGTGCGAGCGGCAATAATGCCAGCCTTTGCCGTCGGACCTTATCCTAGTGAACGGTAGGTTGTGACATCTGGTCCCAAAGAGCCAAATAAGGCACGGCGCCTCCAAACAATCCCTCTCGTTTCATCTCGATAGTCCCTGTCCTGTTGTGGCGTCGCCCTTCTCCTCGACAGAGAAGGGCTAAAATATGCTACCTAGACTACCAGACGCTATTGGTAAATAGAGAAAGGTGCTACAAAAACAGACGGCCACTGATTACAAAAACAGGTGACGGTGCAAATCTGCGCTGGCCCGGGGCTGTTGTGGCGGCCCTATCCTGGTTTTTGTCCTACCCATCCATCCTTCTGTCCCGACCCACTGCTCCATTTTCGTTTGGCGCTCACCACCTGCTGGTTTCCCAAGACTATTTGCGTGCATTTTACGCTAGAATTAATAGCTGTATTTGCTCGAGCGTTAGACCTGAATCCCGAGCAGCTGATGCCTCGGCAATGGTTTTAGCCCTACGGATGTCTCGGTATGAGGGTGTTTGTGAAGTGAAGGGCAATGAGCCGATCAGCTGTGCCGTCACGACCACTACCGCGGAATGAAAAGATTGGTTCGACAGGCTTTCTTACAGTTCACTTTTGCTTCGATAGATACATACAATACGCAAAGGTTTTTTCACCTAACCGATTGTAGATGAGTCAACATTTTTTTGCCGTTTTCGTCGTTTTACTTCGTGATGATAGATAAATCACAGGTTGATGAAATAATAATCAAACCAAACTTAACTGAACTTCGATGATTTTCTGTTTCAATCCCGCAACGTAATAAATTTCACTATCGCCTGGGTACTTCCTGTTACTTAATCAACTAACCCAGCCCGTCCGGCCGGCCGGCACTCAGCCGTCTCAGCGACCCAGCCCCCCCCCCCCTCCTCCCACTCAGCTGAGCCGCCCCCCCCCCCCACCCTCCCCTCCCCTCCCCAGCAGTGTTCGTTGTTCCGTATCGCCCGCGTCTGAGACCGTGCAGTGACCCGGGTGACCGTTCCGCTCACGCCATCCATTGTTGTCGGTCGGTCGGACACAGAGGGTGGTCAGATGGGTCATTGTTGGACGGTGTTCGGGTCAGCAGCCGAGTGTGGAGGGAACTGTTCCGGAATTTGATCGACGATTTATCATATTCAGTCCTGGATAAAGGGCTGCCTCATCTAGGCGGAAATGATGCTTATATTTAACGCTGCTCGCTTCTGAAGGAGGGACTTACATAGATAACATAGCTGTTCGCTGATAAATCCAGGGCAAATCCACAAGAATCTATAAGCCACGCGTCCCCAGGCATGACCAATCCATTTTTAGCAGAGTGCCGCAGGATATGAAAACGGACAATCCGTCGGGCACTGCTACCTCAGGCTTAAGCAGTAAAGACTGTTGTCACGCAGTTTATCGTACAGTCAATCTTGAATTAAAATTCAAATCGGAACGGAAATGTTACCCTTTTAATAAACAAAACCCTTATCTGATCGCCGGGCGCTACCATCCAAGGATCGCGAGGTTTATTTTAGCGCTCCACCCCGCACTAAGTGTCATTCTATCATTCCACAACAGCAGGGCGCTATTCCACCGTTCTACAATCACACAGTGCCCTACCCCCGCCCCTGTCCGCTCATCATTGTTCGGCCCCTGTCGGGTGGCTGACCTGTTACCGGTCAGTTGCAGAGCGACTTTCCCTCACACCGGCTGCTGCGCTGCCGTCGGTCGCCGTCCCACAGACACCGGCACAGCCAGTTTCACCGTGCCAACTTCTCAGAACAGTGATTAACACCAAGATGGCTCAGCTAGTAATCCGGACAACTAAACCCATATGGCAGGACAATGCAGAGGAGAAAGTTGTGTTGAAAGGGAAATGCTGACGTCGGTAATTACGGAAAATACTTGTTTTGAATGTGTGAAGCACCAATGTGTCTAATTTCAGAGTAATTTACGAGTACTGATGCAATTAACTTCACGCTTGTGCATAACTCAAATGAATACTATTTTCGGATAACAAAATGATTTAAGTTATCTAAAAAACGGTAGGGTGCATAATTGCATAATCTGCCATTCCCCAGAAGGAAGCCGGGTATCTATTTACCACGCTGCAGCCAGTAACCAGTAACCACCCTCTGTTTTCGTTTCAGGTGTGTGCCCTGGCGGCCTCTGTCGGTGCTGTCGAAATGACACCACCCGATGGGTACTACCTGTTCGACACAGCTCCCTTCAAGACACCGCCCAAAGTGCGAAAACCACCGTACGCGCAAACGTCCAAACCGTGTCCAGGTAAATCTGTCGCTCACTGGTGCTTTGAATGTAATTTTGTTGTATTTTTTATTCGATGTCATGGAACAAGAGGAAAATTGACGCCCAGTAATAGTCCAAAGCAGTCAGTTGTAGCAATCGATGTTTTTATTTTGTTGAACGTAATTTTGTACAGCTTCCTAACCACAGAAAATAGAAAACCAAGGTTTCATAGTTTCTCAATTCTAGGTTGTTTCAACATACGTTTTGAGTTCCTGGAGATCCAATTTACCGTATTAAAGTACGTTAAATTAAAGTACTTGTTGGCATTCTCAACATCCTACATCCTGTAGTTGAAATGCCGAACATCAGCATTCCCCACCGATGTGCAGCCCTTCGTTTGTTGAGCGGCGAGTACCATTAGTGGCCGGTTTACGAGTAAATGGATACTTGGAACGGGTTATTTACTTCAATTTCAGCAAGCTGCAGCGAGAATTCTTATCATTTCTTATGAGGACTTACATAGATAGACAACGAACAACACTAACTGATCTACTCGCTTTACTCTTAAATGGGCCATTCTGACAGTCATACCACTCTTGGGGAGAGGGTGCTTACGTTTGCCGTTTTTGGCTTAATCGTTCTGGGCTAGAGAATGTGCTAATGTTCATGTGCTTTTCATTTTTTGTCGAAAATGCACAGGGAGTCGCTAACATCGGCACTCGCAGCTATTTCAACTAGAGAGTTGCTCTTAGTTGGCAGGACCACACTGATGCTCTACTTTTACACAACTCAATTATCCAGCAAGCAAAGCTTCTTATGGAAACACGACTCAGAAATGCGTCCTGACGCAGCAATCGGATTTAATTTGTTAGGCCAAATTCATCAGATAACAATGACGGTTCGTAATTATGAAATTAGTGTTGAAGACGCAAAAAAAAATCAAGCATTTAATTATCAATAAACAGATCTTCCCGCAACTTGATTAAACCTCTGGATAAGTGCTTCTTTTTGGCAAACGAATTGAATCCATGAACAATGAATCCTAGCCCGCCTCTACCCAAATACCAGCTCGTCTTTGTTCATTTCATTGTACCTAATATATTTCGTAGATCCAGCCCTTGACTTTTGACGGAGCGTCGTCATATGCTCAGAACGAGCCGGCGAAACTTGTACCCAGGCTGGTTTGTAACGAGTTAACCGAATCTAGATCAGTCAGTCCCTCTACAGAACTTTCCAGTTTAAAACTTTGCTCTCATTTGGGGTTTGGCGCAGCCTGGCCTCTCCGCTCCAATCCGAACAGCTGGGCTCTATTTTTATTGCACGCTGTGCCGATGGCAGCGCACTCGTAGTCTGACCTTTGGACCATATGTGTTCATGTCAAACTTACTCGTTGTTGCAGAAAAATGAAACAGTCTTGTCTAGGGCTGCTTAGTTATTGGTGGCATTTGTGTTCTACTGATGCCACACTGTCATAATCATTTCGACTGCAAAACATTGGAAATGTTTACAAGCAATGCATCTAGTGAAGAGATCTATCTTTTGAAGACTGAAGAGAAAACGGTAGTTTGAGCTCTGACTTCTGCAAACCGTCAAATCCACAACATATTGTCCAGTGACCTCTCTAGCAGATCTCAGTAAGTACTGACAGCGGCACCGGCCGCCACGGAAGCCTAGGGTCCCGAGACAAACGCATTGTTATGCTAGTACAGGCCCGAATCGGTATTCCGGACGACCTTTTGGCCCACAATTGACGACATCCCAGGCTGGACTCCTGGCTGAATCATGGCCAGCCTACGGAATTTCAAATATGGAGCTCTTCTGAATCGTGTAACATAGTGCATCAGTGTTTGGCCTTTGAACATGTAGGATTCTTACAAATGTAATTTGTTTCATTAGGACACTTCGTGACAGCTATAGCCTTTCTTGTGTTGGCTGCAATCTAAAAGCAGGAAAATCACCGTCCTTTGAAGGTGGACTTTTCTTGCATTTCGACAGCTTAGGTGTTTATTCAAATGAGATAAGAAACTAACGCACTAAAATGTGCGTTTGTCTTACCTTTTCTTTTCAACTTGGTATGTCAAACGATCGCAAGTAACTATAAGATGAAGATAGGTTATCTGGCATTTGTCTCTCTTATGACAAGCTTCCAAATACAACTCAACGTATATCCTTTCGTCCTTGAAATGCAACCAATGCAGACTACGGAATCCCGTAGAAAAGCCTCCTGTGAAATATAGTTTGATATGTTGAAGTATTCCAAGAATTCATAAATGCGCAGCATAGTCTGAGTTCCTGATTTAATTATTTAACGGAATAAAAGTGATGCATTTTTCATGCATACCAGGGCCTGGAAGCCATAGATTGGATAAACTCAATATTGAATTTCTGATATGAGAGCGTTATTCGAAGGCAGAATGTAATAACAACATCGCATAGCAATCTCTTTCTGGCCTGCTTTGAAGAGCTACATTGCTTTTGCAGCCTACTGCGGCACATAATTGCTTGTTCAGTCACGCGTTCGGAAATAAAATAAAATATTAAACATCCAACCGAACATCCTGTTGTGCGAGCGAAAGCTTAATTGGATTCCCAGTGGCTTTATTATCTGCATTGGTGGGAGGCGCAGGGTGACCGCGCGAGGCACGCGACCTCGTGACCCCTGTCCCAGTTCAGTGAACGGGTCTCCGTCAACCCCCGAGTAATGAGTTGACGCTGGCAATGACCCTTCATGTGGCGGCAGTGACGCTCCATGAGGGAAATGACCCTTTGCAGGACGGGTAGTGACCCGAGTACCACGCTGGCAAAGGCGAAAGGCGTGTGGGTCGAAAATATGGGCACACGCACGCATGCCATTTTGTGTTCGCCCATACACAACGTTGCCATTGTGAAACGGTGGTCGATCCATAGTGTGGAACTGTTGATGGCGGTGAAGGGAAATTCGTCAGGGAGCCTAGTGAGAGGACTGAGAAAACATTGGACAGACTGTAGAAAAGGCGACAAGCTTGATTGGAGGACTGGCAGACTGTGTGACTAGAGGTCTGGCGGTGCAAAGAATGGGTGGTGCGTTGCTGGCACACGCTTTCATGTTCATTATTTTCCTACTTCTGTTCTTTCATAAAATATGTCATTTGGTTGTCGTCTCGTATTTTTCTCTCTGGTGATTTGTCTTGGCTCTGTCATTTAAAAATCATTCGACCTGACGGTTCCACTGAAAACGGCGAGATATTTGCAGCTTTCCTTCTAATATAATTCCTTCACCGTGGCACCTCGCTCACTCCTGGGACAACACTTGCATCTTTTATCAGGCGGAACAGAGGGAAAGCAACGTCCCCACTGACTGAATCTGACATTCATAAATAATCTAAACAGACGGAGCAAATAAATCCACGCTTTTCTAGAAAACCACCCTATACTCCCGTATCATATCATCTCGTCTCGGTCAGCCACCCACCAGTGCGCGGACGACACGTGTACCGTCCGACTCCCTTTGTCCTCTGTTCCGGCAGCGCCCGGGGCGTTTTGCTCCAATAACCCGGCCACGGGCGTGCCTCTGTAGGCTCTAACGTCAGGTAGCGGGGTTAGTTTATGGAACGGTCTATGAACGGGCTCAACATTGGTCAAAATATCGCCCTTGGTTGAACCCCACACGGTGGAAGGGCTTGGTCAAAGAGCCATGCACGGATGCAGACGTGCACAGTCTTGGTAGCGGCACGGGGCCGGCGGCCGGCCGTCGCGCGGCCGTGGCTCTCCTAACCCAGTTCCTAGGCGGCTGCGCCCAGCTGCCGCCGACCGCCGACCGCCGACCCCAATCCAACATCGTCCAGGGGTGGCGGAACGACCGACCGCGACCGCGACCGCTGACCACCGACCGACCGACCACAGCCGACAGACCGACCACAGCCGACATACCAACGACGGGTAAAGACCAACGGCGACCGACCAATGACAGACGACGAGCGATCGACGACAACTGACGAATGATGACTGCGAAGTGCGGATAGCTGTCCACTGACCTGACCAGTGACCACTATCCATCGAATCACTGACGGCTGAGCAATGATTGCAGACCGCTGACCAAAGTGACCAACCACCGTCTACCATCCGTCCACCTCAACCGTCCACCGTCAACCGTCCCCCGTCCCCCGTCCCCCGTCCACCGTCCAACACCCGCCTCCCCCCCCCACTCCCCCTCTCCCTCGTCGGCAAAATCAGCAAAACACGTCTGGGGCCTGATGAGATCTCGCGCCTCTCTGACCGCACAAGTGGGCACCAATGGACCAGCGCTGATGAGACATGACGGACGATGAACATCGGAGATTGCGCGTCAATCGGAACTGCGAGCGTGCGTGGTCAGGCTGATCCTTTGCGGGAGACGTGCTTGGGTTTGGTGAGTAGGGATGTTTCGGGAAGTGACGCGAGGTAGCAGCTTAGCAGATGAAGGACATATAGGTCGTCAGTCGAAGAATGGTGTTCAGGCTGTGATATTGTGATCATGTAGATGTAGAGGTATGTAAGGGTATGTTAGCAAGCGTGTGTCCGTCAGTTGTTCGGTCAAAAGATTGTGAGGATCCACGGATAGTTTTTCACTAATCTGGTTAACTTATCAGTTGATCCACAGTATAACTTCCCGGTGTTAAATTCCGCTGCTAAACCGCTTTGCTTTCCAAATGTTGTCCATCTCATCGATTAATTATCTGACCATCTTTTGTTCAATGGCATATGTTCTATTAAATAGGTGATTGTAGTTGTCCGTCTATTGCTCAACAGATACGGTTGCACAATGCACATGTTCTATAACTACGTATTCAACCATCTGTCCGACAATCAGGTCAGCCATATGTCCGAGCCATCTGTTTCCACGACCATCTGTGAGATAACCTGGACACCTGGACTTTACGCGGTCAGCTTTCCGGTCATACACACAGCTGGATTTCTTCGTCAGATGTTCGGTTGATTGTCTGGACAATCATGTACATATAGCTGAGTGTGGGACAAAATATGCGATAGACTACTCGGTTGACTAGTTATTTGGTAGCCTTGGAAGATGCAAGATCAGTTGTTGAGTCAACTGCCTGGTTTGCCGCTCAGCCAACTGCGTAATTATGCACCGCGGTCAATTGAGCAGATGACTTTCCGTTCAACTGAGCACTCAAACCCACATGTTCGATCAACTGCGCTTAACTTATTCCACCCCAGTCCCGCCAGCCAGCCTGCAACAGCCTGGATCTGTAGCAAGAGTGAAACTGTCTACAACGTCAGATCAGCAATGGAAATGTGCGAATGGATTCCGCGGCGACGTGCCGTGTTATTTTCGGCAATAGAAAGTGCTGTCAGTCATTTTCACTTGATGACGTAGATGGGCTTCAACCGCAAGTGTTTTGTCATGAATGAGTCATGAGAAATGCAACGTTCAGCTGAAGAGCTGAACCGTAGTATTGCAGCGGATATATCACCGTCAACTGACGATGTTATTGCGTGTCTGAAGAGGGATGAGCGCACTCGAGCTTAAATGATTAGCCTGCAGTTTCAATTAAATCGATCCCCAGAGGACTCTAATGCGAGCGATCCTATTACAAAGTAGTCGTGGCGTGACAGCAACGCCCATCAAACGGGTCCCATGGTAGACGGATATTTATGACGTCATGAGATTAATGATTAGTGAGACTAATGAACCAAAAACACGACAATGCTTTCATCCTTATTTCCCTTAAAACACTCAATTATCTGCCAACAAAGATACATAGGTAACCACTAACCAAGCAACAATCTAATATTAATGTTTGGCCCCAGCTTTTTATTTTGCATTAAAGCGACTAAAAATGAAGAAATGAACATTTCACACGCATGTGTATGCGTCATGTGACAAAAAAATGCAGCACGCGATATTTACACTCGTTCAAAACTTCCTCTCATACTATAGACGCCCATAAGCCTGCCGTTCTCTTCACCAGGAATTTGCATCAGTTGTTGTCTGTTAGGGCTTGGGGAAGCATGCCTTCAGGGGATGCCTAAGTAAAGGATTGTCGCCCCTAACACGGTGCTGATTCTCAGGGGAGGACGGTAGGAAGGCATCTGAGATGTCCTGTGATAGAGATAGAGAGAGGGAGGGAGGGATGGGGAGAGAAAGGGATGGGGAGAGAAAGGGAGGGAGAGAGGGGAGGAGAGAGGGAGGGGAGTGAGGGAGAGAGAAAGGGAGAAAGAGAAAGAAAGAGACAGAGAGAGACGGAGAGAAAGAGAGAAGAGAGAGGAGAGAGAGGAGAGAGAGAGAGAGAGAGAGAGAGAGAGAGAGAGAGAGAGAGAGAGAGAGAGAGAGAGAGAGAGAGAGAGAGAGAGAGAGAGAGAGAGATTACGCTGGTTATCGTCATGCTGAATATAGCTGCCACTGCATCAAGCGTAAATAAATAAACTCAAAACACCAGTGCCATTGGTAAAACGGCGTTCGTTTAGGGAGAGCTCTTGAGTAGCGTTTCACTACGTGACCTGCTTGTCCATCACCTCATAGGACTTTGAAATACCCGAGAGTTATGCGGACATTTCCGGAGGCAAGAACACAACAGACGGATGACAATGCATTAACGCTATATTTAACACCCAGTCGATGCATCTGAAAATTGATTGAACAAAAACACAACAAATCTGCATGAGTTATATAAATAATGGCTTTAATTGACTTAAGCGTTGAGACATTTTTCGACATCATCAAATCATTGAGGTTGGTGGCTTGTTGTTTCTTCCTCCTTCTAACATTTTTCTTCTTCTCTGCCCGCAGGCCTGGACTCGCCAAAGGAGGACATGCGCCTCTCGGAGACGCTGTGCGGAGACCTTCAGACAGGAAAACTGCCCAAGAACCCCATCCAGCCTGAGGGATTCGACGGACATGCCTACCCTTTGTACGCAGGAGCGGGGCGGGAAATCAGTCAGTTAATTAGAACATCAATTATACAGTCGATAGTCGGCTTATGTGAAACGAGGATATGGCTTAGAGGGGAATTAATAGGTCTGCATGTGTAAGTACTGCGCAGCCTATTGTATATGTTGCCTCGCTTAAACCGATGCATCTAAACGTATCCAGACAAAAGTATGCTTGCCCAAGCAAACCAGGACTGAAGATATGCCTGTCAAAATCCAAACCCAATCTGACACTAATATTTAACACGACTCGGTCCGGGTGGCGTTTTACGACCCACTTATGGCAGCAACCCACTGTAGCATTACCGTCACAAGAACTTCAGAATGATGCTGAAATTGTGTGCCACCCATGCCTGAATTATGTACGGCCCAATGTTCCAACACCATGGGCTTGATAGTTCCATTTCTAATTCACATTCTCGCTAATGAATTCATCAACATCGCTAACAGTTCATAGCTGACAGTTTGAAATACCCATCGTGTTGGAGTATAGTCGCTGGCTATTCGCAACTAATATCAGCGGAAATTACGCATATGGGCGCTTGGAAATGAGAACAATCCAAACGAAATGAAAGTAACTAACTGTGAATATTAGGTGCTTTCATCAATTCAATTTCACACCCTATTTATTTCAAATAATTATTTTTTCCAGAAATCACTCAGCATGTTACTGTGTACACTGAACAGTAAACGAAAAATAAACAAGTTTAATTGAATTTTATTTCCGTATTTCTAGAACCTCAGTCCCCCCCCCCCACCCACCCCCTGAGTCGTGTTGTTCGACACCACCGCCGTCTGTCCAGGGCTCGGCCCTATCCAATCAATCTCCCTCCATGGGGACACAAACTATGGCCTCCGATAATCGGCCCCGCACCACCAAATTGGACAGCACGGTCAACAGAGCGTGCGTCGTCGGGTCGGGTCGGTGCGGTCACATAGCAACCAGCCCGGGTGGTGTGGAGGGCTTTATTTATGGAATTTGTTACATGGGCCTGTTATAGACAGGGGTGTAATATGCCGAGACAGCGATATAAAAAGTTAGGTTTCAGCCAGTGGCATAAGGTTTCAGTCGTGAATATCTGGGGCCGATGCTCATTCAGAAGTAACTAACTAACTGGGAGTGGAGTAAAACAAAAACGTAAAAAGCGATTCCAGTCGATCGCGCCGCTGAGATTCGAACCCACGACCGACCAAAACACTATTTGGACGATATTTTGGAAGCGACGGCCATGGAAAGATATTTCTCTTAGCTGTAAGCGAATGAAACTACAGCAATCACCGAGGCGGACACTTCAAACCAGCCAAAAGCCCGCCTGCACCACCACGGTCAATTATTTCCTTATCATTGTGCTTGCGCAAGTATCAGTACATGTGTAACCGGGCGGGCAGGCGGACCGGCAGGAACCGCTCCAGCGGCGGTCCGGCCCGGCGGCGGGCCGGTGACGTCATCAGTGACGTAACAGTTTCTCCCATGGCCATGTGGGGGTATGGTGTGCTGTGTTCAGTTTGTCCAAGTTTACATAGAGCTCCAGCAATTTGACGCACAAACCTGAAACCACTTGACTCTGGTGCACTGCCTAGTGCCTAACCAATCAAAATGATCAACTATCTCTCTCTATTCACAGCGAGCTAATCAAGAACAAATCGTTGGAGTTTTTCGGCTCGACTCTTCCCATTCTGAAGAAGGACCCGACACTGCCCAAAGTGGCACGGTTCCAGAAGCCGAGCAAAATCAAACACCACGCGTAAGTACTCAAATCAATGATTTGGCTGAATGTCAACACGAATCTTGTTGAATATTTGCTATGGTCTCTGCTTGCTGTGCTACTCTGCATTGTGTTATGGGCTCTTGTGATGCAATGGTTAAATTGATCAGTCAACATTTTCTCTCGATCAGGATTCTTCTATCAGCGTGTTAAATTTATACAAAATCAATAGAGCGGTGTCTTATGCAGTCAAGCGGCAAGGCGCCGTGGTTGTGATAATTCCTAAGGCAATGTGTCGAAACTTCCCAACAGTCAACATGAATGTCCGTCGTGTCTTCAATTTCCTTCGTCGAGCGATAAACATCATGTGGGAAGTGCAGGAGACGGGTGAACTCAGTCCTTCAGGTTATGATTGTCACATCGCCCCTCTAAAGTAATATCATTGTATGAACACGGCAAAAAGCAAATGTTACATATGTGCCTTCTACAAATACGAGTCTGAATTATTTTTGTCACCGTGCTACTTCTCTCAATTGCCACAAATATGAGCAGACAGCTCTATAACAGAAAACGACTCAGACATAGCGGCAACTTGTTGCTCCAACGAACAGCTTCAGAATATCAAATCAATCTTCCTAAGAAATTATGTAGCATGATTTGTTTCGCTACCCTCGTTGTTATCATTTTCACGCCCTAGCGACTGCACCACCCTCGTCAGTAATGGTTAGCACTTTTGCGCTTTTGTCTGGGACCTCTCTTATTTCTCTGAGGACGAGGAAAGTTGACGGCTGAGCGGCGACTTCCCCTCGAGTTGGTCACCTGTTGCGCCGCACCCAGAGGAGCCAGCGGGCCTTGGAGCGAGCAAAGTTAGGCGGCCAAATGTCCAGTCAGATGGCCCCAGATGGTGATGGTGATAAAGTTGATGGTGATGGTCAGCACCGTCTGCTGTCAATATGAGGCAATTTTGGCGCTGTTCTGGGGACATTTGTGGCGCAATATTGGGGACATTTTGAAGACACTTCGGAGTGCTGAGAATTGAGATCCTTGTTAGACTGCGTTGGTGCTACTCTTGACGGTTGGTATACATATTGTAGGCGTCGGTTTCTGGCATTGATTTAGAAGCAATTGAGGTTAAGTCTTGTGAGCATTGTCCTGAGTTTCAAGTATAAAGCACAGTTAATAATTCAACACCCAATAGTCATGCATTGTAGCCGCGGCACATACTCTACGATGAACAAACGTCAAGACGTACCCGAACTTCATGTATAGTTTCTACAATAGCCACCCAGCCGTTTCAGGCCCATTTTATTGGTCGCAAATCCCACGACCATTCCCGCTACCCGCTGCGTTATCGGCCGCCTCCAGCGCGTCCCCTGTGACCCCTGACCCCGCCCGACGGTGACCTGTCTGTGACCTTTGACCCCGTCACGGGGGCGCTGGTCGGGTGCCTCCCTCACAATACATAATGCATGGCATGCGGCTCAATGGTGAGAGAAGGTGGGCCGATGGGTGACGCTACTGGTGAAGAATGTACGGAGAGAGAGAGAGAGAGAGAGAGAGAGAGAGAGAGAGAGAGAGAGAGAGAGAGAGAGAGAGAGAGAGAGAAGGAGAGAGAGAGAGAGACAGACAGAGAGACAGAGAGACAGAGAGAGAGAGAGAGAGAGAGAGAGAGAGAGGGAGAGAGAGAGAGGGAGATGAGAGAAGAGAGAGAGGGGGAGAAAGAGAGAGGGAAAGGATGGAGGGAGATGAAGCAGGAACGAGAAAGCAAGAGGAGATAGAAAATAGTAATTGCTGGCCAAGGCAGATGGATGCAAATGCAAAAAAAAAACTAACACAAAAGTAAGTTGGTGCATTGTAGACATCCCCTCTCTTACCCCTCCCTGTCCCGCCAAGGAATCCTCATGTTATTACTGTTTGTTTCGCATTGTTTGACATGGGACAACTGTTGCAGGCAATCAAACGGTCTGTTTGCTAAGCGCGGCCGCGGTCGGCGCTCGGCTGAAGGTCAAGGTCAAGGTCAAGGTCAGCCGAAGGCGGACGCTGGAGACGAGGAGCCGGCGAGGAACAGCCGCGGATTCTGCGACACCAACTGGGGCGTGTGAGTATTTGACGGTAATTATGATATCTCAAATGTTACATTACACCAACTGGAGTGGTACACTCAAAGCTTTATGCATAGGGACTGTTTCTTTACGTAATGCTTCCATCCCTAAAAAGCATTTCTAAGTTCCATCTCAGCCTTCAGCAGACATGCATCTTAGCGTTGAAAAAGCAGGAGATGCAATATGCATGCATTATTTCGTATGCCTGCAACGTTATCCAATGCAACAATAGTTTGCGTCAGGGATTCCTAACTTTTGCTGAAAGATCGGGCCTTGTCAAAGCCAGGCTACCCAGGCAAAACTGTGTTTGTCTTCACAACTTCTGAGCTATAGCTATGCTCTGCTACAATGTTTGCAATGCTTTTCATACTAGACTCTGTTCGGGCTTGGCTATTTCTGATTACGTGACCCTAGCATTCCACAGTTTCGCTCTTTTGTCCTGCTCAGCGAGAAATATTATCTTATGATCTTAAAAAGACATACCTATTACCTACACCGGTCGTTGAATTAATCGAAAGACGCGCTGTTTACTGTAAATGCATCGGTGCCAAGAAACTTACCCAATTGCTTTTGAACGTGGACGAAACAGGAACTGGAAGAAAACAAGTCCTCCATTGTATTTAGTTTAACCCGCGCCCCAGTGGCGGTCTCGGCCAACTTCGCCCTAGTGGGGGAGGGGGGAGGGGGCATATGTTACCACCCACCTCTAACTCAAAAACTAAGAGGGCTAGAAAGACGCGGTAAAAAGCAGTCGATAGCTCTTAATGCGTACGTTTGAAAGTATTTCAGTCATTTTTCATCTTAGAGCAATATTGGGGTCACCAGAGGTCATCAAAGGTCAAAATTTGCCAATTGTCATTATATTTTTCAGAAAACATGCCGTTATCTCAGGAACTATGGTAGCTAAAAAAACGCAGGGAACAGCAATCGATAGCTTTTGAGCTCTTCTTTTGATAAGGTCATTATCAAAATTGACCTTAGGTCAACGGTTTAGCCTCCAGAGGGCAAAAACTCCAAAAATAGCTGTTTTTAAGAAAAGTGTTTTTCGACAATAACTTTCGACTACAAAAAGCCACGACATTTATATTGCCAGAATCGTGTTCCTCTCGCCGAGACGCGTCGAATGAACTATAATTTGACCTCAGGTCACGGTCATGACCTGACCGGAAAAGGTAATGTTGTATATCATTCGATGCGTCTCAACAAGACAAACACAATGAGACCATCCCCAGCGTTCTATCTCTTTCCAATCGCGAGTTATTGGCAAAAATATGCTTGCAGGCGCGTAACCACGAGTCCGAAGTTACTGGGGACCACATGGAAGGCCGCGAAGACCAAATATAATATTTCAGGATCAGCCTTCGCCCGAGTGTGTGGAGGAGGGGGTGGGGGGCGTTTTTGGCCACACCTGCCATTTTTTTTTTTTTGTTGTTGCGCGTGTAAGCACAACCGCGGCGCGCACCGACACAGGTAAACATGACACACTGAACCAGAAAATTGCACCTGTGACCCCTTCTATGCCTCTGAGATCATCTCAGGTCATGAAAGATCTCCAACAGTTTTTTACCATTACTTTAGGTAGAAACATGTTAGAGCGCAAACACCATGGATGTGTTCAACTCAACAATACCAATCGCATGACATGCAACATGACCTTTTCCTTCCATGCGTCTCGAGGAGACCAACGCGATGCCGGTAAAATCAGCGCCATGCAATTTTTGAGTCAAAAGTTATGATACAAAAACCTTTCCCGCAAAACGCCAACCTGGAAGCTAAACCGTTGACCTTAGGTCAAAGCTGAGAACATTGCTCAGAAAGGTCTTTGAAAAAGCTATCGAATGCGCTTTCCCGCAGCACTGCAGCTCTATTGGTTCCTGACGTATGCGCCGATTTGTGAAAAGTTGTCAAAATTGGGAATAAAAGTTTGTGAAAATTTTACCTTTGGTGACCTCCAGTGACCTGAGCGATGACTTGATCAAAAATGACATAGGTAATTCTGAAAGATACTGTAGCGAGCTATCTGCTGCTTCCTACCGCGTCTTTCTAGCTTGCTTAGGTAATCTGGTGTGGCCAAAAAGCCCCCCCCCCCCACCACCACCAAGGCTAAGTTGGTTGAGAGGCCCACCCGGGCGCTGGCTAAGCAAAACATCCAGTTTTGTTTTCCGTTGACTACATATTACTCTTCACGTCGATTTAGAGACAATAATTGGCTATTCAAGCAAATTGAGGTCGTCGGTTTTACTGGGGACGGTCCCCAGTAACCCAAAAGTTACTGGGGACCGGTCCCCAGTGTCCCCAGTGGTGGTTACGCGCCTGTATGCTTGTAGCCTCAAATGACCTCGGATGACCTTTCTAGAGGCTATCAGCAAAAAATGACACCAAGGTCATCACGGGTGGTCCAAATCATTGTGATTCTGAAATATTTGAACTGTTCCTATGCGTACACACAGATCTAGAGGTATTTTCATTTTTCTCCATTGACTTGTAATGGAAAGGTCACGCCACTGACCTGACCTTAGGTCACGGATATAAAAAAAATCCGAGATATACAAATTGTAGGCGCCCATAACAGCATGCAATCCATCAAGTTTAAAACCTTTCTGACAAACACTGCAGGCTGGACGTGATTGCAAACTTTTTTTAGGCTTGGTCAGTTAACTTAACCTGGTGACCTGACCTGACATGATCTGGGGTCAAAAATTTCACTCACACATTGTCCAAAATTGATAATTGATGTACCAAAAGCTACCCCAAGCGGCGCGGCGCTACGCGCCGCGGTTTTTTATTCACACGCAAAAAAAAAAACGCGACAGGGTGGTAACATATGCCCCCCCCCCCCACTGGGGCGGAGATTAATGAACTTTGAGCGTAGTCTTAAATTCATCCGGATTCCTACCATATACGTTAAACGGTATTATGATAAGCCGTATCAAAAGTTCATTGCTTGCAAACCAATCACCCATTGTGCTTATGTTGCACGTTTGCTTGGTTTTCGTCTCCGGTTAGAATTTGATCTTCACAACTGCCGGCAATTTATCTTCGAAACACTCAAACAAGAGGTTTGCGTTATTGATTCTGTGGACATTAGAGAAGCAGCCCGACCAATATCCTCCCACAGGGTCGGGACATTGACGGATGCTCCCCATTAGCTCCCGTTCGGTCTTGTGACGTCACAGGCTCACGACAGTCCGCTCCGAAATCGATGCTGCCGTCAGCTATGACGTCACTCGGGCTTCAGTAGCTGACTGTTCAACTTCGATGGCTCATTTCGGAGTTGGGCTGATTGTGTAATGTGTACCTATCTGAGCTGCCAATCTGGTACAAACTTAAATGAAAGAGAAATAAGGGTTGACGTCATTTTGAAGCTCAGTGACGACTGACGCACCTACCTCTTTGCCCTTTACTGTTACCGATTTATTCGTCAAATGCTAGCGGCTATTGATGCAGGAGTAAATGGTTTAAATAGTGGAACCGCAACAAACATACCCTAATGCAACTTTGGAAGAACCTATCTAACGTAATACCATTGGTAATAGAGGTAATAGGTAATAGGTATTTCGGCTTACGGGCCACCACAGATTGCTGTATTTGGGTACGGTTAAGGAGATCATTTATATGTATCCAGTCCCCATGGCCCATTGACAAGAATACGAGTACTCTGCCTGTTCACCAGTTTTCTCTGCATTCTATCCCCCTGACCCTGTCTCCGGGCTACGCACCTGTTGCCCCCCCCCCCCCCCCCGGGAGGCGCTATTGATCTCTCCGCGGGCGGTACGGGAGTCAGCTGACTGCCTCTGCCTGCCCCCGGGGCACGTGACGTTCGACCAATCAGAGCCGCCGACCGGACGACCGCCCCGGGCGGTGTGCCCCGACAGGTGTTGGCCGTGGTCAGGGTGGGGCCTCCCCGGGGATTTGATTATCCGGGAAACATCATCTGAATAATAGTTAAACTGATCAGGAATGCCGTATTTGTGTTTATAGGATGTTGGATGAATGTGACCTACCAAAAGAACGGTTATCTGTTTGTTTGTTTTTCTTACTTATACATAAAGTGCTGCGTACCAACTTGTCACTAATCAGTGCATTAATTTTCACCGAAATAACTTTTTGAGAATGATGTTGTATTTCAAGCGGATTCTGATTGTTAATATGCCCTGTCTTCGTGGAATCGTAACACCGATAGCCTTCACCGTAAAAAAATGTGAAATAAAATATTTGTGTAGAGAATCTTAGCTTATGGTGCATTAATATTTGCAATAATTTTAGATCATAATTTGCGCGTTATTTAGTGAGTATGTAACCCTACAGCACTAATATAACCCTTCTCTCTCTCTCCCTCAGATTCTGCACCCTGTTCAGGGGCTGGTCGGGCGGCGGCGGCGGCGGCGGGGACTCTGACGAAGAGGTCAGCCAGAGGTCATCCCCTGACCTGACCTCGGGAGACGCGCCGCTGACCCCGTGTCCTTCGGTGGTCGACTACGTGACGCCGGTGTTCGCTCGGAACTACGAGGGGATTTGGCGTTACGTGGTGCAGATTCCTCACGAAGGGTACTTCACTCAGACCATTGAGGTCACCAGCTGCGTGTGAGTGGGGTCAAAGGGCCTGATTGGGGCTTGGAAGTTCAAATGGTATTTTGGAAGTAAAATAGTATTTTAGCGGTCTGGGAATTACGCGAGATTACACAATATTATACCTTTCAGATTCATTATAAATATAGGTAGATTCATTATAACGTTCAGTGTATTGTTTAATCGTTTGCGATAGGTAGCGTGCTTTGAAATGAATAGCAAACCAGTTGATTCACTTATCCAAAGATTGATTAATTATGAGGACAGTGAACGCTAATCTTGAGACATTTTAGCGTTCCGGAAAGTCTCATTTCTCCTAAGCGCCCTTGGCTACTCGAAGTGTCTACTCAAAATACTCAGGTCAACGTACCTCGCGGCTTGCAGCGTAATGCTATTAATTCTAAAACTCATCAAGGTACAATTCACTCTAAACGTCTCACATCTGCGCCGCCCATTTCGCGGTCGACATAGCAGCTTCCGGCGTCTTTCTCTTAAATCTCAGCTCGTCCAATTCCATTGTCAGCTCGGTGGTTACACATTGTCAACCAATTAGGCCAGCCTCAGCAGCAGCGATGAGCGCTGGCGAGCGCCATTGTCTGACAGTGTCCCGGATTTTACGCTGGGCTGATTTGAATACGGTTCGGTCTCAGTGGCCGCCCAGGTCTGGTTGAAGAAAATTGTGTGCCGTTTGGTTGAGTACGCTCCACTAGATCCAGTTCATTTCACTCAGGAGTTGATTTCACTGTGGACTGTGGAGTGGCGTCACTCAAGCTATCAGACGTTTAAAGATCTTCAGGCTAATTGTACGGTACAGAGAACTCGAGTGGGTTTCGATTTCTACAAATGTAGAGTATGCATGGATAACGTTTCAACGTAAGTGCTCTCGAAGCATACATCTCATCTGAATGTCGCTTCCTCGAACGGTAAAACCATTCAGCGAAAATTGGTAGATCTCGGATGGATTTCACCCAGGCACTGTCAGAGCCCAGAGCTGAAATAAGATCACTTTCCGCGGAATCAAATGACGCGGCTCGGCCTGACAGCGTCCCCGGCGAGCTGACTGGTCCCGACAGCCCAGGGCGGAAGTGAGGGATGTTGCAGCAATATATGCAGCAAGTTTGGAAGTTGCTCGGGTAATGGATCACCGTTCTTGATCTCAAGAGGGCGATAAATACATGCAAGTTCTCAAAGATGGGCGGAGTATGAGCCCCAAATGACAGGTAGATACGATGATCACGTGGCAGACGAAAATAATTTCGGATAGGGAGACGTTGAGTGACACAGCTCATAGAAAGTGTGAAAATGTGTAAGGCAACTGGTAATGACCGTATGGCCTGCCGTAGGATATCTGTTCACTGACTTGTGCCCCCTCCCCCACCTCCCGGACGAGTTACTGTCACCTGATGGAGGAATGTGTCCCTGACCTCTCGTCCCTTGCCTCCAGGTCATGCAACTGTCACCTTCTGAAGGGACGTGCGCCTGACCTCCCCCTCCCCTGCCCCCAGGTCATGCAAATGTCACCTTCTGAAGGGATGCGCACCTGACCTCTCCCTCTCTTGCCCCCAGGGCAAGTCGTTGTCATCTGCTGTATGACTCGCGTATCTGACCTCCCCTCCCCTGCCCCCCAGGTCAAGTCGTTGCCACCTTCTCGAAGGCTCATGTCTCTCCTCTCCGCGGTGGATCTCTCTACTAGTCGCCGAACTATTCTACCCACACCAGACCTTCCCCCTGGCGGCGCCTGTGACGCCGCCGCGGGCGCCTGTGAGCGGTCAGCAACCGCCCGCCCCCGCCCCCGCCCCAGCCCAGCTACAGGAGCGGGCAGGGCGGCCGGCGGAGCACTGCGACGGGACAGATCAGCTGGGCTGCTATCAGGTGGGAATGGGAGACGGTGGGTAGGGGGATGGGGTATCCCAAAGGTCACCAATGGAGACTAGAAATCAGATCGTGCACATTCACATCTCAATCTCAGCAATATGACTAGTGGCTTATGTGAATTGGTATAAATGTAACAATGTAACATGCAATAAGGCCTCTATTGAGACACTCGTAATGAAAATTTATAAACTCAAGATCTGTTAATTTTGTAAATAGACCTGTGACCTTTCATAGACCAAGTACCTGTCGTGTATGCTGAAGTTGATGTTCATTAATGACTTAACTTTCAAGACCAGTCAACTTCATCGTCGAGGTCCTTAGTCCAGTCAAGTTTCATGCTCCCAATAATTAAACACGGTAATTTATTCTCACACATTAGGCTTCTCTAAAGCAGACCCACCAAAATAACGACGTCATTATCTAACAGCATACCCCACTATGTCAGTCTATTTTGGTCCTCGTTGCTCGCCAGTCGGCGGCCACGCCTGGTCATAATCCGACCGCAGCGGCCGCTCTGGGGATTCGGCCCGTCTGTTCGGCTATATGCGGCGCTACGTGCCGTCTCCGCCCCGTGAGAGCACCCCTCTCCCTCCCCCCTGGTGGACCATAGAGCTCAGAGGCTGCCGACACTGCCCGCTCTCCCGGCCGCTGCTGATATGAAGCACCTCTGAATGGCCCCGGCACCGCGGGCGCCATACCAGCCCGCGGCGGTGGCGTGGGTCAAAAGAACGGGCGCTGGAGAAGCTCCTGTGGGACGCTGCATTCAATGGTCTTAGACGGACTCAATGGGCGCTCAGAGGTCAAATATTACCACCGCGAGAGCCCCTCCTATTCCTCCCACACTCTCTCCCCCTCCTCCTCTTTCCAAGGTAAAGAAGGGAGAAATGTGATAGACATTGGACAATGTGGAGTCGCGGGACGGGCCGCTCTGAAATCGATACAGCACGTCCCAGCCGATTTAATGGTGGCACCAGCTCTGAAAGGCGTGTTTTTATCGTGTCACTGCGCCCCTGATTGAGTTCGACCGTCCGCAGAATTCGAGAACGATCCGTGATGCCTCCAAGCGGAATGGCCTGGAGCTCCTAGCGGGAGAGCTACCTACTCGAACGTGATGATCCGATGCATGCCTAGCTATATGAATTTGATTTAAAATCTAAACATTACATGCGTCAAATTGGCATATTTCCTTTGCAATTACGAGTGCTTTGCATAGCTCAGCTTGCGTAGCTCACTTTGCTGTGTACACCAGGTCTTTTACTCAACTGAACGACCGTTTGCGATGTTTACCCCTTCCCTGATGTCACAGTCTCTATTCTCTGCATCCCCTTCTAGAGCCCCTGGTGACGTCACTCCGTACCCCTTGCTGGCAGGTTCGTCTCTACTACGACTGGTTCCTGGTGCCGGGCAGCTGCAAATGCTGGAAAAACGACGTGTTCGCCCAGTACCGCGCGGCAAAACGGACCCCAAAGTCCGCCGGCCACTGAGAGGGATCCAAGAAGGCGCCGAGAGGGGACCAAGAAGGCGCCGATAGCCTGAAGAAGACACCGAGAGGGTACTAGGGATTTGCTGAGAGATGACCGGGAAATCACTGAGAGTAATTTTCGTGACACTGTATTGCAAGGTTATGAGAGAGTGCTAAAACGCTCTTTGTGAACGCCGAGAGCGCTGAAATGACTCTGAGAGGGTGCTTAGAGGTCTTAAGGGATATCAAAGAAGGCAATCGATCACCAAGATGTGCGTACATTTTTCCGGCGGTGTGACTGAACAACGGCAGCTTACTAGCAGCGTAGTTATACGATGCAAAGTAAACAAAATATGAAGCCAGAGGTATGCTATATTTGTTATAGTTTAGATGTGTGATTGCGCTTATTGTCAGGTCGGCATCTTTTCGAGTGCTAGAACGAAATTTCCGACATCATTTGGCATCATTCATGTTTCAAATTGAAATTACTCAAGACGAATAAATGATAAGCGTTTCGTGATACCTAGCCCAATAGTTGTTAGGCTCTCATATGTGTATGGTGTAAGTTAAGCTTCTGGTCAAGCGCCTTCTTGGGCTTGGCACATATTTATTTGTAGCATCATTCAACCAACCAAACAAGTTTGTCCAGCATTGATACAGAGTTCATTCATGTTTAGTTTTCTTTGCCAGGATATATTCCTCTCCGAGAATGATCGCAAATGTGCTTAGCTCAGCCATGGATGATATCGGAGACTCCACCGAAATAGAACCGGTTGTTTTGTTACGTGAATGTGTGATGCAGTGGTAGAATAGTTTGTTTACTGTGGATATTCCGTCCCGTAGAAAAGTATGTACTATGTACCGCTAAGTAACTCTGTAATAAATTGAGTTAATGTTGTTCCTCACATATTTCCGAGAGGTTGGGTGTGCAGCTGTCCCGTCAACAGTCCGGTCCCATTGGGATTGGGGATGGGCTCGGCCGCTGCGCCACAACAGCCGGTCGGTATGAACCAGTCTAATGGGTTCCTTTCATCGCACGGGTTTGCGCTGCCTTATAAATACACAGAAAGGGGCACAACGGCCCCATCCAAGCCATCAGAACCTGTTGTGACAACACCAAAACAGAACAAAGATAAGATAATACACATGCAAGATTGAGAAAGAACTAAGAAGAAAAGTTCAGTACATCACCGAGAAGATCCATGGAGATGCTGTCACGTCAGAAGTAACTCCAGCTCAGATGGCCGTCCTCGGGGCATTTGAAGCTCCCTCGGCCATCCACCATCCTGACCCGAAGACTTCAGGGCTCATGCGCACAATTGGTCACTGGTCACTGAGCCTGATCGTGTCACGTCACGGCACTGGTCACAACACCGCTCGCACCACTCACACAAGCACCACTCCGATCTCAGCACATTTCGTGGTCTTCCCACACCTTCACACTTCGTTAACCAAGCACTTATTTCCCCAAATCCCATCACACTCCACCCGTACAATAAGTAATAACTGCGCGCTACATTTCAGACTTATGATTGACCTTGACTTCTGCTTGGTTGGCGCGTCGTACGGAATGCTCGTCTCTGATTGGTCGACACAGCTGTCTCTAGACGCCTGGGGGGAAGGGAAGGGGAGGGGAGGGACCGTATGGTGGGGCGGGGAGAGGCCCTGTCGGGTTTTCCGCGTAGAAACAGGTGATTGCACTCGGCTGACATCTCATGATTTGTTTTGTTGGGTTAGGCCCTTTCGGTCCAATTAGACCATTTCAGAGCCGGGAGGATGATAGGATATAGGGGGAGACATTGGTCTGGGCAGGCACCCTAGTGAGTCGCCGGTGCTGAGCCCGTCCAGAGGACAGGCCACCCAGCCCCAAGGCACTCACTGCACCCGGCTACGGGGTGCGCTCCCTCGGGAGCAGCGGTGCCGCTCCAAGGGAGCAGCCCGCATGAGATAAAGTTGCCTGTCCAGCCCGGAAGGGGGCTGCGGCGTGGAGGAGAAGGATTTCAGTATCCTGAGGATAGAAGCACGGAACGGTGACATCTCATGATCTAGGGTTGATTAATGATTGATGGCGTGCTAGAAGACAGAGTTGAGTATAGGTAAGTTTTAGGCGCAGACCAACCGAATAAGGTCTGAATAGGTTTGTCTGATGCACTTAAAGTGTAAAACATGGTAAACTTCAAAATATATCATTTAGTTTGCCATTACGAGGCATTATTAATAATCCTGTATCAACCGACTCTGATTTTTTTGCAACGTTTACAAAATTTCGCTTTTGCCGTCGTTGTTAAAACCAAGTTAAAACGTGTGCCTTATATAGGTACCAGCCGTAGCCGTTCTTTTTTTCGCGCGGAATTTTTCACATCATCTGCCACCGATTCCATTTCGCTGTCTTTCGCCCATCCGCTGACCGGGGGGAATTTTCGAATCTTCACTCGGGCAGAAACCAACTGAGTGGCTGAGAGCCCGGCCGAGCTGTCAGAGACTCGGAAGTCAGAACGGTAGACAGATTCAGCAGAGTCGTTCAATGCCGGCGCGAACTCCTGGAAAGCGGCTCTAGGCGTCGACTGCGTCAATTTGGAATCTTTGCGACATTCAACGGCGCACATGTGGAGAGGTGAGTAGCGTAACGCCACGTAACGACAGGACGTTACGACAGCACGTAACGACTACACGTGAGTTTCCTGAGGTGTACCGGTATCCCATGGGAGTTATCTGGCCGAAAAGTTACGTCGGAGACGCGCGTGGCTGGTGATGAGCTGGTCAGTGGTTAAGGGGGGGGGGGGGGCCTCTGTGTGTAAGATATGCCAGCATACCGCCTCAGTGCGATCAAGATACGATCCAGAACAAACCAAAATTACAACACATAAGTGCTAATTTTATAGCTCAGAAATGAAGATTAGGCGTTACGGCAATAATTCTTCCTTTCGTCATCGTGCAATGTGCTAAATCGGCTATACATATTCAGCAAAGTGATGAGACATGTGAACACTATACGAATTTATGAATCAGCAAAAAAAAAATGTATCGAATGGTGTAATGCGTAGTGTATTTGTAATGCAAGGCTTGTCCGTTCAAACGAAAAATGAACGAGCGGCCGAACCGTCCGTAATGGAAGACAATGATGGCCTGCGAACTGGGAAAGGACAGTGGATGCCACATATCGTCAGACCCCATCAAACAAAACGTGTCAGCAGTGCAAGACATTATTTTTCATCACATCATTGTCACGACCAGTATCACAATCCGTACGACAAGCATGTTAGCCACCACTTCTACTGTCCAACTAGTGCACCGTACATTGGATCGATGCATCAATTACCTCTAAGAAAAATGTGACATACCTACACCGTGAAATGTATGTGACGACGCGGTCAGCGGCTGCAGAGAGATCCAACCGCTGCCTGTTGCCGCGGTGATGGCAGTTTTTATCATAGGTTGTGTTGGATGATTGCACAGTTTAGCTCCGCCTGGTTTGCTCGTCAGAATGGATCGCTAGTTTGTGATCGCTGTTGCTGTTTATCAATTGAGGCAACGCAAAGGCCGAGGAGCGCTATCTAAAGATGGCTTTTAAATCCGTGTTTATTTTGAAATCCCGGTAAAAATGACTATAGTATCCATAAAGGTCACAGTTTCATGCAGCAATTTCAACATCGAAAGCGGTTCTGTGATATAACTAACGTAAAATGTCTATCCTATGTGGCCAAAAGGGACTCTATTGCGAAATCAGCGAATGGGGGGTAAATGTGAGCGTTGAATTATTCGCGGGGCTACGAGTAAAAGCACTTAGGCGACCTACCAGAGCCGTACGGGTGCATATTCTTCTGACCTTTTCCTGAGACCTTTTCTGGGTTCGGCCCGTTGTGGTCTGAGTAAATTCATTTCAGGCATATTAAACTCACATGCGCTGCCCTGGAACGAAATAAAACGCGTGCCACTGATGCCAGCATTGAATTGACTGGCATGTGGCAGCCTGCTGTTAGGGTTTTCTACCTTCAAAAGCAGGAGGCTGACAAATGGCTTGCGTGCTTTGCTAGCTTCGTTAACCCGCGCCCTGCTGGGGGGGGTGTTTGAACACCCCCCCCCCCTTGTGGTTTTTCGCGAATATCTCAAAAACGGCGGCGCGGAGCGCCGCCGTTTTTGGTACACCTTATCATACATCAATTCTACACATGTTGTGAAAATTTCAGACCAAGGTCATTCAAGGTCAGGTCACCAGGTCACTTGAAGTGACCTCACCTCATAAAAAGTTTCAATGTCTGTCATAGCTACACCGAGTGACCGATCGCTTTGAAACTTTCAGCGATTGCTAAGAGCAATAGCATGTACAAAATGTATATCTCAGAATTTTGATATCGATGACCTAAGGTCAGGTCAACTTTGCGACCTCCCCATTATAAGTCAATGGGAGAAAATTGAAATGCGCCTCTTTTGGACGAAAGACATTATAAACACTCCCAAACACTGAATTACAAGTGGTTTAGACACACTGAACATGAAAATGGTGTCTGTGACCCCTGTTTATGCCCTGAGGTCATCTTAGGTCACGAATGGTATCTAACAGTTTTTCGCAAATAACTTTTGATAGAGGCATGCTAGAGCGATGAAAACGCCTTAGATGTGTTCAGCTCGACGATACGGATCGACTGATATGCAACATGACCCTTTCCGGTCAGGTCATGACCTTGACCTGAGGTCAAATTTTCAAGTTGACCTTTCAAGGTCAAGTTATAGTTCATTCGATGCGTCTTGACGAGAGGAACACGATGCCGGTAAAAGTAAGCTCGTACAAGGCTTGGGTCAAAAGTTATTGCAGAAAAACTGTTTCCGAAAAAATCAGCTATTTTTGCAGTTTTTGCCCCCTGCAGGCAAAACCGTTGACGTTAGGTCAAATCTGAGAGAATTACTCAGAAAGGGCGTTAATAGGGCTATCGAATGCGCTTTTCCGCGGCGCTGTAGCTCTATTGGTTCCCGAGTTATGCGTTGGCTTCTTGGAAATTGTCGACATTCGACCTGGAAATCGGCGAAATTTTGCCTTCAATGACCTCTAGGGACCTGACTTTTGACCTGACCAAAAAATTGACCGAAGTGATTTCCTCATTATTTTTGACGCTCTTTCGAACGCCGCCTTCCGCGTATCGCTACGTGGCCCAGGAGCCGAGTTAGAAGGGGGGGTGTTCAAACACCCCCCCCCCCCCAGCAGGGCGTGGAAATCCAGGACCCCCAGCCGGGCGCGGGTTAACTAACTACAAAGGACGGAGATGCGTCGCAACCTGGAGCACCTGTTGCGATGCATTTGTTTTGAAAACCTTTCACTGGCGCCGTTTGGAATTGCAGTTGAAAACCACGCAGTGTTCTAGCCACTGTGGAGCATGCAGCGGTGTGATCAAGTGCAAATATGTAAATATCTTCTCTGTGCGTAATTCCAAATTCTGACCAGCCTTTAAAGAACCCTGAGCTCCACACCGGCTCTGGATCTCAAACCAAACTAATTCCTCTTCCGGCTGTTTCTCCTCACACCTCTCCTAGCCTCTCCGATCTTTCAGGTACAGCCCCCACCTCCAAACCAGAGCTTCAGAAGTCGAGCCAGAGTCTCCACTCTACCGTTCTCCCGCTGGCGGCGGTGGCGGCGGCGGCAGGTCGATACCGCCCCCGCCCCCGCCCGGGATCGGCGGGCAGACGGCGCGTCGCCAACGACGGTTGGTCATCGTCGGCGTCGATGAAGTCAGGTCCAGTCGGCGCCCGCGGTCGGTGGTGAGAGGTGAAGGGCCGCTCTGTTGGTCTCTGTGAGAAGCGTTGGTGGTTGAACTGTGTGAGGCCGTGGGTGAGAGTTCCTAGTAGAGAGAGGGAGGAGTTTGAGAGTTGGGAGGAACAGGGAGAGAGTTTGGAGAGGAGGCAGAG